TTTTTTTTTTTTTTTTTTTTTTTTTTTTTTTTTTTGCGAAGAAGAAATTAAATTTGTGAGACGAAATTAAAATATTGATTATTTTGTTCTCTTTTTTTCTTCCTTTGAATTTATATTGATGATGAAGAATAAACGTTTAATATTTACAGTGTCTTCATCTGTGGACAATGGAATCACCGAGATATTGGCAGAGATTTCTTTATAATCACTTACGATGTTTTCGATTTGACAGATTTCTAATTGATGTTGATTTTATGTATCCGTTTTGCGAGTTGTGTACGATTGTCACGGTAAGTAAAGATTTTATTTTTTGATGGTACAATTAAAAACTGGGTCATTCTTGAACTTTTGCTTTTTTTTTTCTATATCTAAAAAATTAAAAAAATTAAAAATTAGATGGAAGAAGAATGGTTTGCCCTGTAAGAAAAATAAAAATTCTGCATAGGTTTCAATTTATTGTAATTACATTACATCGATAGATGTACACCGCCTTCGAAAAGCTCTGTCCTTATAAAAATACATAACAAAGCTCGGTCGCGTAGCAAGCAAGATATCGATAAATTAGGAAGCGAAACTAGCGGGCCGTTAAATACAGTCATTCTCTTATTTTGTACCTCGAATATAAACTCGTGATCCTTTTGTGCGTATCCAAAAGTGTGTCGTTCTCGTTTTCAAAAAAAAAAAAAAAAAGAAAAAAAAAGGGATAAAAATAATAAAAAAAAAAAGAAAAAAAAGCACCTCGTCAGAGGCGTCATCGGTAACTTCGTTCATTATGCGACTTCGATTATTATGCGATACTATATCTGTGTGTTTTTTCGTCTTTTTTCTATATCCTCTCCATCCTTGTTTCTTCGTTTTTTTTTTTCATTCTTCGTTTCTCTCTTAAGGAATCGTAGAAAAAACAATGGAAATAAGAAACAATTCGTTTACCATTTCTCGATGATAATATTTTATAATCGTATTATAATATTAATTATTATGTTTCTCTCTATCGTTTCGAACTAGCACCAATGACTATCGCGTTAAGCGATCACGTTGAAGTAATCGGTCAGTGGACGTTTCGTTCTCGATTTCATAATCGAACCGCTCTTTCCCTACTCTCCCTCGAGTTATAAACGCAACGTATAAAAAATAAAGTCGAACAAGTATGTATATATTTATTTTCTTCGTTACGTACTAACGTAAAAGTCACGGATACTCCCTGAAAGATTCTACGGTACGTACACATTAATTATGCCGTCTTCCTTTGATCGTTCCGCGGTTATTTTCTGTGTGCACACAATACAAGCGATTCGTTATATTCGTTAATAATCGTAAATATAATTTAATATCGTCAACATTATTTTCTCGCGCATTCCATGTGACATTAATCCATTTCTCTCTCGTCCGCACGCGCTCTCGCATACACTCGCTCATTCGTTCGNTTTTTTTTTTTTTTTTTTTTCTTTTTTTTTTTTTTTTTTTAGAGACAAACGAAAAAAAAAACTGGAGGGAGGAAGGAAAATTAATCAATTGTCAACGAAACGATATCTACAATACGTATCGTATAAATACAAACGCCGTAATGTTACATGGAATGTCGGGCTAAATGATCGAAAATCGGAAACGGATCCATCGAGTACAAACCGTGCAAACCCGAAGGATCGTACGTTATTCGTACGTGGATCTTTCTTTCTTCTTTCTCTGTTCTCTCGTCGTATAATCGTTTGTATTTTCGACTCTTCGTGGTATTCGGGAACAAGGGAAAAATATTATGCAAATATTGCACCAAGATCACAATAATTATTACAGAACGAGTAAGTAAACGGATGCTGTGGGTCGTAACAATGACGATCGTTTTTGGTCCGTAACGCGTGTTCTACGCACAAGTACAAACAATTGTTATCACACGTGTAAAATCGTCGTCTGTAGAAGGAACGTGTCTTTGACCATTTTCTTACCAATATATCCCCCCATCGAGACAATGGAACACGTTTTACTATCTGTTTCTACTCACGTCGCTCTCGACTGCCTCGATGAAGGGATTCTGATCGATGAAAAGATTTGTAAGAAAAAAAAAAAAAAAAAAAAAAAAAAAACAGATCTTTTCTCATTCATCGATCGCTCGATACCATCGACGGATCGCCATACGACAGACTAGTTAAGTAGGTACGCAGATCGTGCGTGATCTCGCGCTTCCGCTTCCCGCGACTCCTCTGGATGTTGCGATTGTAAGTTCGTCTGGGTCCGGCGAAGTCGGCGCGCCCGAGATTAAGCTTCTTTATCGTTAGATCGGCGGTGGCCCGTTCGGATACACGACCATTGGCGTGAAGCTTCTGGCGAGGTTGTTCGACAGCATGCAGCTGTAGTCTTCTTCGGCGGAAGGAACCAGAGAGGCGACGCCGAGGAATAGGAGCATCAACGCCTGGATCGGCAGGGAAACGCGCAACACGCGGCCCAGGAAACGGTATCCCCGAGACAATACCGTACGCTCGCCATCGTCACCACTGAAACAGGTAAATTTCGTATTCGCTAGGATTTCTTTCATAGAATTGTTGGAAAATTATATATATTTTTATTCTAATTTCGGATGAGAGTTAGAAAGTAGAAAAATCTTAACACGTTCACGTTTGAAGTAAAAGTTGAAAAGTAATCGTAATAGTTTCTTGATGAAAAATTATATTGGAAAAACAAAATTGTTTCTACGAAAAGATAGATGATGTGTATTTTTGTATTCGTTAGACGAGAACGTATTAAAATGATCTAGATCTATTTAAGAATCTGCCTGAGCTAATTTTCCAAATTTTTCGTTTGAAAATAATTGTTAAGCGTATTTATTGGATCTTATTTATAAAGAATTGGCTTGAAAATATGTTGGAAAACGTAGCTCGGAACTTAAAACGGAAAATGAAGAAAACATACTGTGTGTCAGGTGCGTCGTGGGGCTGAACGGTTCCAGAGGCAGCTTCGTCGAGCAACTACAATACAATAAAAGAGAAAACACAAACAATAAGGTACTGTGCGTGTGAATGCTACTATTACAAGGCACGAAATAATAAAATTCTAATTTAGAGTAATTTAATTTGTATTATATTTGTAAAATATAAAATAGAAATTGAAATAGTATGAATTAAAATCGCAATAACGATTGTAGAATACAACTATTCACGAAAGATTAAAAATATATATTTAATTAAATATGAAAGACATAGCCAGTATAAAATAATTTTAAACGGTTATGTCATTCTGCATTCGATATTCGTTGAATTTTTATTGTAGTTCGTGCCTCGTGTTTCAAATATCGCTTAACGTGATCCTACGATGTATGTGCAATATAAATCTATATCGAGGGCTAAGATTAAAGAAGCGAGAACCAGCGAATAGCTTCAGATACTGACTAACGTTACCTGAAAATATTCTGAAGAAGCTAGCGAGTCTTTACGGAAATAAAACAACGAAGATTTTCTTTAATGAAACTTTGCTTCGTTTCGAGTATTCCAACGAGAAAAAGTGGCGAATAGGATAGAATGAAGCTTACATCGTGTGAAAGGGAAGCGAGAGAAGAGGTAGTGGCTGCGAGTCCAACGTCCCGAGGATCCATCCCTAGGGCTGCTCCTAATTTTAAAGCGTATATCCCGGTTAACCGTCGAAGGGACTGCAATCTGAGACGAAGTTCCTGTAGGCGTGCTCTGGTTTCGCCTTTCTCGTCCAATAATTGATTGGCTGACTCTTGAAGCGACAGAACTCGAGGCTCGCATCGCTCCAAATCACTTCTCAATTCCCTGAAAGGAAATAGTTTTTTTTTAATGATAAATCTTTCTTCTAATGCTACGTTGGCTACACATTGCTGTCGAATAATTTTATTTATTTGTATAATTATTTAATATTAAAAAAAATTCGAGGGTTGAAAAGTTGTCGTAAAAAACACGAAAAATACGATTTATTTCTTTAACATTTCAAAGACATACCTGAATTTATTGTACTTTGCGGTCATAATTTCCGGCGACTCGGTCAGATCGACCGGTTCGCTGGCCCGTATACTGGCTTCAGTTTTCTCCAACCAGGTAACCAATTCCTCTATGATACGATGGAATTGCTGGTTCGACATTAATGCAGTCTGTAACTGTTCCTGCCAATGTGCAGCCACTTTGCAAACCTTCACCCATCTCGTATTCGCAACGGCTAATCTGTCTCTGAGTTGCGTTGCTCGAAGCAATTCCTCCGTGTGATCGGCTAAATGCGCGCCAACGGTGTTCAGACTGGCAAGAATACTTTCGTGACAGTCTAAATCGAGCACAAATTCTCTGTGATCTTGTATCACATCCTCCAATTGTTCGATATTGCCAGGTGGCGAATGTTGCGCGCTTTGGGTGCCTTCAGCGAATTCCAGCCATTTTTCCAACCTCCAAAGATCGTTCTCCAGTTGGGCCCAGTTGCGACGCGAACATAGGGGACAGGTTAATCTGCCATTGTCGCTGTAAATAATAAGATTTCACGTTTTTCATAAAGTTCTTTTTAACTTATTTGAATAGTATGCTGAGATAGAGATACGGAGTTTGCTACGGGAAAAGCAGGTATGAAATAAGCGAGGATCGTTAACGAATGTTAATGAGAAATTGTTAGTGTGAAAAAGGAACACTCACTGATCGCAGGGAGAGGTGTAAACGTCGGAGTTAGGTGACCTGCGCGTGAAAAATTTCTGATTTTAATATGGACTTAATGATTTTTTCTCAAACAGATACATATATAACGTGTAATAATGTTAAAGGGTTAATTGTTCTCGTTTTATGTAGAGGAGGCTTTACCTGAGTTCTCTGATCTGTTGTTCTCGCGTTCTCGCCAATATAAGAAGATTTTCGTATCTTTCCGTTAACGCAGCCACCTCGTTAGCCTTGGCGGCTTGCGCGCTCAATTTTCCATCTTCTATGAGCAAACTGTGCAAATGACGAACCAGTTCGATCGACGATTGACAGCTTCCGATTAATTTACTCTGTCGAATAAAAAATTAAATAAATTTACAAAAATTTATATGGAGAATTTAAATTTTGTTTTTTTAGATTCGCAAGAAAAAAAATGAATTTACAAAAATATTGAATAAGAAATATTGTTTTGTATCAAACTTACGATATTTTTAGCAGTCGCATTTAATCCAGGTCCAGCAACAGGATCCGGGGCGATTGCTAATTGCAACGTATCCAATGCATCGTTGCACTCGACCAGAGCAGCTTCCAATTCCATCAGGTATGCGTCGCTGGAAGTCATTCGTAATAACCTAGGCAACGTGTCCACTTGAACCGCACTGTCCTGTTCGAATTTCAACGTTTCCACTTGCACAGCCTCGTCGACTTCAGACCTCTCCTGTCCCTCTATTTCCGCTCTTAACGACGCCACTCTCTTCTTGATGTCTTTCCATAACAGCTGATACTCGTCCACCAATTCTTGGATATTCGCCACGTCATCCGGATGACATTCTTGCATAACCTTAAGCGCCAATTCATCCGCTTTCTGCAACGTGATGTTCTGAGTGCGAAGTTCTTCCTCGATCTCGTTCAATTGCTGCAGCCTGCGACGAATCGACGCTTTCTGTTCCGGCGTGGCCAGGTGTTGCGTCCTGGTCAATCGAACGTCGACTTGCGTCAGTCCAACGACCGCTGCGCCATGCACAGTGATAAAGTCTCGATAATTCTTCTGCCCTTTCTGGAGAGCCAATAGAACGGCATTCGCTCTAGGCTTGAACGTTTGCCATTTATCGATAAGCCGCCTGGTCTCGCTGATAAGCGACTTCAGGTTATCTGGTTCTAAACCCGTTCTAGCTAAACGCCCAAAGTTTTGCTCGATTATCTTGATCACCGGTTCGTGCGCCTCTACGTCCTCGGATATGCTTCTAGCCTTCTCGATAGCCTTCTTAGACTCGTCCTTCGAAATTTCGTCCAAGTTGTTCTCCAATTCCACGAGAGCCTTGTCCGTTTCCGCGAGCCAACCTTCCTGCTCCAACCTGATCTTCTCCAATTCCTGGAGAATTTTCCACGCGAGAATGATATTCCCCTTTCTCTCCGCCGATTTCACGCAGGTGGTTGTCCACCTACGCTCCAAACCTTCCATCCCGCTCTTGATCGCGTTGTTGAAAGACGTTTTCCACGCATCACAGTCGTTCAACAGAATCTCGCAGAGATTCAACACCTCGCCGATATTTCCGCTTTCCGCCTCGATCGTCTTCTGAAGATGTTCGTGATCGTCCAGCTTCTTGTCGATGCAACTCTGCTCGATCGCCTCGACCACGAACGTCTCCGACAATTGACTTTCAACGCTGGCCAGCCAGCTCCTCAACTCGTTTATCCTCTTCTCCAATGTGCTCATCGTCCTCATCAGGTCCATCAACTTACTAGCTCTCGCTTTTCCCATAGCCACCAATCGATCCCACCTCTCGTTCAACTCGTCCAGGGATCGTTGCAACCTTTCGCTCTCCTCTTCCTCCGCTACTTCGACCAAATCTTGCCCAGTGTTCTGTATCCACAATAATTCTCGCTGTTTCAACGCGATATCCGACTGTATCTCGCATTCCAATTTTTTAAGAGTTTCCTCGGGCTCGTTCGGCGAGTCGCAATCCTGAATTCTGATCTCAGTTTCTCCTATCCACGCGAGTAACCTGCCTAATCTGTCCCTCCACCGATCGTACAGACCACAACGCTCCTCCAATCTGCATATCAGCAACGCCGCTTGATGTTCCAGATCCTCGTGCTGCAGCCGGAAAAGCGCCCGTTGTTCGTTCAACGATTTTATATCGGTCGGGCTGAGATCCTCTCTCAATTGTTGTATCATCACGCCCAAGGATTCCAAATCTATGCTCATCGAGGACAATCTGTTCTGCATCTGGTGTACAGATTCCAATTGCTGTTTCGTTCTCGTCAAACTAGCAGGACTCGAGTGAAACGCTGTACTGAAAGCTTGACCGATCTCCGTGAACGTGCTATTGATGTCCTTCGACTTTTCCTCGTACTCCTTGTATCGTTTCTGTATCCTCGGGATGTGATCCCTCCACATCTCCAGACTTGAGCTCAGATTGTTGATTCTTTGTACGCTGGCTGCGTGGTCCCTGTGAATGGTCACGGCTAACGCCTCGTCGCATTTGGCTAGCAGTGTCTCCTGTTGCCTCTGCAGAGATTCCAATTGGGCTTCGCCTTCGGGTATCTTGTCCAGCAACGACTCTATCCTCTGGAGAATTTCGTCCAACCTCTGTATTTGGATGAATCTGAAGCGTAACTGGCTTCGTTCTCTTTCGATCTCCTTCAGCCAGTACAAGAGTTTACCCTGATCCAATTTGTACCGATCCCACGCAGTCAATCTGTCGCGTACAGCCGCGTGCCTCTCCATGATCTTGGCCAGAGTTTCGTTGTGTTGGTTCGTCAGAATGTTGAATTGCTCGGTTTTCGACAGATTACCCCCCTCTTCCGCTCGAACCGTGAGAATGAGATTCTGTTGATCGGTCAAGAGATTCTGGTGAACCTCGCAGAGGTTCCTGTGTTCCGACAAACCGTTGTAGTCGCCGGGTACATCGTTGGACAGGAAATCTTGTACGTAGAACAAGTATTCCTGCCAAAGTTTCAAGGCAGTGGCACCATCCTGCGTTTTGACTAGAAGAGCCGACAACCGGTGATACTGTTGGAAGGTTTCTCTGAAGACCTTCTGCCACAGTTTCAACACCTCGACAACCGACGGTTCTTGCGTCGTTACCTCCAGGCTGCGTTCCTTGATCGATTGTAGCTGCGGTTCCGTGCAGGTGAGCGCAAGAAGATGGTTGCGGAGGAGTTCCAGTTGCTCCTTCGACTCACCTTGACCCACCGCGGTCAGGCTCTGGAGAAAGAGTAGAGATCTTGTAAAATATGTTCGACAAACAACGAAGAATCTCTTATCCCTTCAGATAGATTAATTTATTTTCGATGAAGGATAGATGATAACGAAGCAAAATTAAAACGTAGTTCAATTCTTTCGTGAATATTGTTAGATGCGATAGAGGAATCGTTTAAAGCAATGGATTTATTTCACATAAAGAGCCTAGCTGCCATAAGAAAAGAATACTTCCAAGAACAAAAAAGGGCGTACAAATTGACGAGGGTATAAATCATCTCAATTCTCCCGTCTTATCTCGAGTGCGCTTCGTCTTTATCCATCCATTTTGCCCGCCTTTGAAGTTCCCTAACCCGTGTCCTTGGATATTTCCATCGACAACCGACGAGTCATCGTGGACGATCCACAGGGTGGTGGTATTCGATCGGAAACGGTGATGCGCAATCGAGGTCCCGCATTCCTTCACCTAGGGGCGAAAGTTTCGAGCCGAGAGGGTGCACGGCCGGATTCAGCTGTTGCGGATTTCGTGACTGATGTAATTGCCACTACCGGGCTCAAGCCCTTCGGCCTTGACACAACAAAGTGTTTCGGAACTATCGCGATTAAAATATAAACGCGCGTGCGAGGTATAATGATCGGGCCTGTGCCAAGCACCAATAGCCACGCCGGAAATTGACGGACGCGTGTACAATGATACACAGAAGGAATCACCTTGATAGACAGTTCTGTAATCCCGAACACGCGGACTTTTTATTTTTTATTTTTAAATTTCAAACGAATCAGAGGTATCATTCAACCAAGATTCTTTCGTTCGCTTCCTTCTACTAGGGCTTAGCCTTGCGCGATAATAAAAATAGCTGTATACTTGATATATCCTCTAGCATGTGATCTAGCGTATTTTTGGGACACTCGAAAATTTGGAGAACGAGATTGTTGAAAAATTAAGAAGAGAAGAGTTTGGTATATCGGATCGAAAGATGAATTAATATTTTGTCGCATTATATTCGTGTAAGCTATCGAGATACACGGTTGTAGAAGAAAATAGATTGTAGAAAGAAAGTAGAATCTGTAAGGTTTCGCGAGCATGCTGAAATATATTGTGCTTCCAGATGAATCCTCGAAGGCCAGAATAAGAGAGCACATGCTCTGTACCTCTGCGAGTGTAAAGCTACTTTAGAACCCTCGTTTCTCAGAAACACGCCCTATGGAATTCAAACTGCGCACTACGTTAATTCACGTTCTGTGTCTCGAATCAACAATTCTCAAGTTTACCTATTCGATAGTTTAATCTTTAATTTTTTACTTTTATTTAAAAGTCGAAATTTTCAACAACATTTATAAATATGAAATTAGAAATTAAATCAATTGGTTATTATTATTATTTTTTATATTCCGATATTGGAATTCAAAACTATTTTCATTCAAATTCTAATGTCGTACAGTGACTTTTATCGAGGAAGAATACTTAGACCGCTTGTCCGTAGTAATGTCTGATGCTAATTTAAATAAACACGAATGGTATCGCATACCATACAATATTAAGCGCACGTGTCAACAAGTTTTCCACGATATCCAACACAGAGCCAAATATTTACGAAACTTAATTACTTCCCCTCCAAATTTCTTAAGGATTTGTTTTTCATCGAACGCATAATCCAAAATTATCATTTAATTCGTATATTTTCTTTCTTATTTAATAATAATAATGTATTTTCAGATTATTGAAAGCGCTAATAATAAATTACAACTATTCTAATATATTTAATGAATTATTCATTTCCTTCAATCTACTTGTCTACCGTACAAAAAATATTTATTATAAAATCCTTAAGATTATTTTCTTAGCAACTGCAAAAAAGCAACTTGGAAAAGAAATCTCGTTACATTCTATCTATCCGTTTACACATTACGCAAACAAGATCAACTCGATCAATTCGAAATGGAAAAAGAAAAAATCAAATGTCCCTGGTTGAAGTAAGCAGCATTTTTAGATAAGATGAAAGAAAGAAAACGAAAGGAAAGAAATAAAGGAAGGATTGCGTAATTTACTTGCCTGTTGGACCGAATCCAGGAAATTTTTCGTCTGACATAAATCACCACGTGCGAGCTCCTGGTTGAGGGCGCGGGCGTGCGCCGCATCCGCGAGGCACGATAACGTTTCACGGATATCCTCGAGACGTTGTCCAAGTGCCTCCACTTCGCAGTGCAACGGTCCACTCGCGTCCAACCCGACGTCCGACGCGATTTGCGCCACCAGGCCTTGAAGCTCCGCCAACCTTTCCTTGTGCTCCGCCATCGTCTCCTCGCAAACCTGTCGAAAAGTGAAACAACCTCTTAGACTCCATGATCTGAACGCTTTTAATACTTTCGTAAATGTGGAGAGGGTATTTTTATGTAATGGTATTCATATAACGTGAAAGGCATGCGATGCAACTTTTTATTTGGGTTTCATAATATAGTTGACGATTGGAATGGAATTATTGTCTTTTGGATTTTACTTCTTAAATAATTTTCATTTTTATTAGAGAAAGTTTGAAATGATTGATTTTACGAATGATGAGAAGTGTACTAAAAGCTTTTCAAATGTTTTGGAAACTTGAAGTAATAAATAATAAGGATTAAAGAATGATTCATTCTGCTTGAAGAGGGTTAATACGTTTACCTGAGTTTATAATTTGAGAAATTTAGGCTAAAAAGGAATTAATAATGATAGAATACATTTCTTAAGACAAATTCTTTCTTTTATTCAGGTATATTGAGAAAGAGATATATGTGAAATATTTCATGTATATTTCATGTAAAGAAGTCTAAGTGAAATCTGAGATTTCTCGTGATGAATATTTTTTGAACTAAGTGTCAAATCAGAGATTACAAACTTATTTAATCAAGATGATTTTGATGTGATTGAATTTAAATGAAAGAGAAACTTGGACTGGAATGATTATGAATATTCGATACATCTATTTGAGTTGCAAATGAAATTTCTTCATGTTCTTCGTATACTTGATGAACAAACATTAAATAAAAAATGATACAAATGTATAACTAGTTTTTATCTATACTTCTGTCTTACTGAATTACCGGTAATTAGAAACACGGTGATTAAACAGAGTGTTTTATTTTCGAACTGTTATCATACTTTCGTGCTTGTTACAGAATTCCGGTAACCTGTTAAATACACGTCAGAGATAGGAGAGTTGACTTTACGAGCTAGAAATAGACGTTTGTTATTGCTCGAAAAATAAAACTGAAGATAGGGAAGTTGATTGACGAATGATACTATTCGTGTGCTTTTTGAAATTCGAAATTTTTGACCAGCAATGAGCACAAAGAGAGCACAATGAGCACGTATATATAAAGAAGAATAGAATAGAATAGAATAGAAAAAAGAAAGAAAAGAAAAATGGAGCGAGTATGAGATTTGACACGATCACACTTTTTACTTTTGTGCATTATACGATATTATCTTTTTAATGTAAAATTATTATCTTTTGTGTAAAATTATTGTGTAAAATTGAAACAATTTTTTTCGACACTATTCATTGATATAATTAATTTTGACAATAATATATAAGAATCAAGATACACGATAATTTGATAACCGTTGCATAATTGCATCTTCCGATAAGAACTTGGCAATATATTACGTTAAAATGTCAAATGAAAATTACAATTTAGTTAGATTAGAGCACAGTGTCATGCATAAAGACGCAGAAATTCTATTCCAGTTCGTTGCATCACACGTGCACCGGATTATTCAGTTCCGACACAAAATTATCCCACGCATCGGATGTGGTATGTGTTATATTATCGACGGTAGTAAGGTCGTAAATAGAATCACACCTTACAGATCAATTATATTTAATATATAAGGAAAAAAAATCTCATTATTACCAGTGTAAATACAATACTATCAATATGTAAATTTTAAACAAGTAACAATTTTAAAAATTAAAATTGATGACATTAGCACGATATAAATTTCAAAAAAAGACAAGTATAATTTATGTTAAAAGCTATATTATCACATGAATTTTAACCGTTCAACTAAAAACAACGGTATTATATTGCATCAAATCCAATTAAAAATTAATTAAATCGAAGTAAAAACATCACCGCGCGTAACGTTCCAAAGGTCCAAGAGTAACGAAAAAAAATCGATATCCGTATTGAATAGATTAACAAAACAGAAATGACACTCTCGATATCGCAGAATTCTTCCTCCGATCGTACCTTCAATTCCTCGGGCGTGCACATATTTCTCAATTTAGGTCACCGTTCATTCCTATTTTTCATAACGCGTCACGCATACATCACCCGCGTAACAACGAATCGACAAAAGAAGACGAAACAGATAGGGCACGTGTCGTCCCGACTTGGAACACATGCTTCGAATTTTTGATTAACCGGAAACTGGCCACGATCGCCAGCCACCGTCCACAGTTCGCGCATAATCGCGCGAACCGCTGTTTTCGAAACGTGTTTACGCGTTTGATGAACCTCTTTTATCGGTGGTCTCGCCGCGATAAAAATACTCGTGGAAACGTTGGATAGGGAGACGCGAATAATATCTCGTGCAGATAGATAGATACGAGAGAGGAGAAACAAGCGTCCCGACGCTCTGGACCAGACTGGCGTCCTCGTCTTCGAGGATCGATGCGCATACCCCGAGAACCGAGTGGGGATAGACTCTGTTGCCCCGTATTTCAACGACCTACCCTCGCACGTTTCGGCGCACTTGCGTAGGGTGAATCGTGCTCTTCTCTACGTGCTGCACTATAGGCGTGGTGGGGACGATGACACTACCCCGAACCTTCCATTCAAGGGATAGACGCTGACGTTTCGAGCCGCAAACAGCTTTGTTTCAAGATTTTTTCTTTCTTTATAGGCGATATTTTTTTTTGTCGTAGCGATGAAGTCACGTCTTTTGTATTTTTTTTCTTTCTTTATCGAAAATATTTCGATTTAATTTTGTTTGAATAATTTTGCTTCAATGAATTTGGAATGATCTTTGGAAAAAGCGAATTTTGTATATGATTCGATAATGCATACGAATGAGAAATTATATCGTATATAAATGTTTCTGAACTACTTTTCATTAACGTGAAATAGTAATGAGCAAAGCAACTAGAGGATTCTATTGTTTGAAATTGATTCACAAATATTCGAGTGAAGATATCTATAAGAACTAAAGATGTTTGAAATTATTTACTCGCTGTTTCTTTAAATTTACATTCGTTTAATATTTCAATACATCTGACTAATTTTATTACGTTTGCCTTGGAAGTTTACTTCCCATGACCATTTTTCTTATGGTAATATTCATTAAGCAGGCCACAGATGAGTCATGTTTTTCAGACATTCTGAATCAGTCGAAATACAATAGAATCGGTTTAAAAATTACAACCAAGACAATACGAATTTTCGGTTATCCGAGAATTACAGAAAATTACGAGCTTTCAAATCCGATGACTCGAATGTTATATATAGATTTACAGAAACTTTCCATTTTCATCTAAGCCTTTTCTTGCTTTTTTTTCCCTCTCAATTCTCTTTCGTTCAAATCTTTCTTTTCATTTTCATGGTATGGTTCTAGATAAGGCTCTATCTCTGTTTCCCCTCCTCTTGGTTAGATAAAACTTGTATCATCGTTTATTGTTTTACCACTCAACGAAGTAGTCAAATAAATAATCAGTAAGTGAGAGTGATACTTTCAATGGGTAATATTTATGAATGCAATTCTTTGAGAACGAAAGAGTTTATGGGGAATGAGCTTTGGTTCAGAGCGATGAAAATGGTCCAAACATATGTGTATATGTAAGTACGTAAAGTAGAATGTAAAATACTTTGGAATATTATTTCGAATAGATTTTATGCTCAATATACCCTCAAATCTTTTTCTTTTCTTAAAATATCTAAAAATGAAATTTCAAGATTAAAATCCAAGGATACCTGTCATTTCTTCTCTCTTAATTGAAATTTTTTATGAAAAATATTTAAAAATATTTACAATGTACTCGATCCATATGTTATCGGACATATGTGCAAATTTTTGAAAATATTCACGATACCTTGATGTGTTTGACGGCCTCTTCAGGTGGGAGATTGGCGACGCTGTCCATTTGCGTGTCCACCCAGGCTTTAACCGCAGCACTCGAGTCTTTGTACTGTTGCCACAATCTGCACGCGTGCTGATACTTGGTGCAAAGGGCATCTAATTCGGCCCTGGTATCCTCCCAGGCCTGTACGGCCTCATTTACCGCCGCTTCGACCTTCTCGCGGACCTCTGCAGCGCAACCCTCCCGCAGAGGTTCGGCAGCTTCTCGCAATTCGCCAATGAGAACTTCTCGCGCACCCAAATCACCGCTGAGACCCTGCAACAGATAAAATATCTCGGTTTTTCATAACCCATACACTTACATACATCATGTATCGTACGCATTAACGTTTTTGCTCGAGCCTTCGTCTCTTTTCGTTCTCGTTTCGAATTAAATTCGAGCGTTGAATGAATTCAATTGTGAAATATCGATGAGAGATATAAAAGAATTCTTTGGTAAAAAGTTCATATTACGTTGAATATTTCGGTTCTCATGGATATTGAATATTTCTATCTTTGAAAATGATACAATTGAAAAAACAGTGCTTCAAGGAATAAAAGACAACTGTCTTCCAATATAAAGATACGTCATCTTGTTATATATATTAAAATTTATTAGCGATTTATAAGATTGAAAGAAAGCAGTTTTGATGAAGGAATTATTCTGTGATTTTTTATAATTATTTTATAATTTCCATGCATCATTGTTCCTTCTATTTCTTGAGATTCTTGGAATCTCAGCTCTGCCTTTCGAAGTCAATTCGATTCAAGAAATTTCCCCGTTAAATCAACAATACTCCCAATTTAGATCGTTCAATGTATCAACGTTGTGCATGACTTGAAAGGAAAACATTTTGTTAATGGTAGCTCGAGCTTTTTCAGTTCGTTATATCAGTATCGAACAATGTATCTATTTATTAGAGATTAATTTCCAAGGAAAAATTATCGAATCGATGAAAAGAAAGGTTATATCATATCCATGTTTTTTTTCTTTTTATTGGAACCGATATACGTATCAATTAAAGGCATTTGATCGGGTTTGTTTAATCAATTTATCTTTACGCATCAAAGAACTCGCACAGAGAGGCTTCTTCTTCTTATCTATCTTAGGATTCTACTAATGAAACTTTAATTGATTTTGTACAGCCGATTAACCGTTTTCTTTTTACTTTCATCTTGCAGCAATTTTTTTATGATATATCTGTATATTAATACAGAAAATATTAAGATAACCGAGGATAACTTCAACTGTTCGGATAGTGATTTCATCGTATATCAGTTGCTTGATAGAACAAACATACTAACCAAAGAAAATACACTTTGCACGCGTTCATGCTTATTACTAATGATTAAAATTATCTGTGACGTACGACCCGTGATATTTTACATCGATACGAAGAGGTTCTCGCCTTTATTCCTTTCGATCACGTGGAATCGCCAAGTTGTTATATAATATCGAAAACAGGGATAATAAATATAAATTTTGAAAAGAATAAAAGAATTGTTTCATTGTTTTGTCGAAATAAATAATTGAACGATAAATGTGTTGGCCGATAATCTTTCGTTTAATTGCGATTATTTAAGCGATTAACTTAGAAGACCTTCGGAAGATCGTTTCTTAATTCTCTTTCATCATTCATAATTACATACGTTAGCATATTTTGTCCATTTGAATAAATATTTATGCAAAGAATATTTAAAATTAACTAACTTACTACGTAACTTTTTTATTTATTACGTAAAAAGAAATTACAGCCTTTCTTTCTGCAGATTTTGCAAATGGGTGTTGGCAAATAATTGCTGAGAAAATCTCTGACATCTTGTTGCCGTGTAATCATTTTAGATTTTTAAGCTTTTCTGTTAACATTAATTCTTATAAAAATTTCAATAATTATATATTTCAAGAAATATCGTTTTTATATTAAATCATGACTTGTCATTTTCGTAACGAAAATTATAAATTTTTTCCAATGATAATGGCAATTGTATTCTTACAGAAAAAAAGAAGGATTTTCTACGAGAGTGACTGTTAAATTTAGCATATTCTTTAAATAGAAATCTCTTCCTGAAGAATTTCAATTCGATTTGATATTTCAACTCGTTGTAAAGATCTAGTGATCCGGGTGCTCGTATATCTCGAAGAATGTAAGATCGACGCGTTATTCGCACCATCGTAGTATCCGGGTGTAGATCGTTGGTATTAGTCAAAGAATGCACATGCCGGTTTCCCTTAAATACGTACTATAAATAATTTTGAGTCACGAGACTAGAGAGCACGTTTCGAGGCCCGCGTCTCGAATTCGGTCAGAGCGTGGTTGGACTAATTTTGTGTCGTGTACTCGAGTTCGTTCACCTGGCTGACGGTTTTCCGGCGAAACCGTAAACGGAAATCGAATCTCTGCCAATGCGTCTCTCTCGATACTATGAAACCTCGCGTTACCTCGAGCAATTTATTTATTGATTTTGTTCAGCCATTTTGTAATTGAACAGCCTGCCAGAACAGAATTACCACATGCAACAATATCGTAGCAAGTTATAGGTTACAGAGTTTTATAAAAAATAATTATTCTGAGAAAATTCGATGCTCAATCGTAATTATTTTTTAAACAATACTTGAAACATGTGGTAAGTATCATTGAATTTTGTCTACAACTTTTATTGTATTTTATATTTTTTATTATTGATGATGGCATTTTTTATTCAGCCTACTTCTTCATTGATATTTTCGAGCTCTTGTCTCTTTTCATTTCCATCACGCTTCACTGATTGATAGAATGCATAGACGCCATAAACTGCACGATACTTTGTAAGCCTCTAAATTTAGAAACTCTTATTTTACGTGAAAACGACCAAAGATTTATAAGTCTACAAGAAAATTAAGCGTGGATATTTTTCCCAATAAATATTTTGAATTTATCGAATTAAGTTTTCTTTCATTATTAAAGAATTATAATCTCCTTCCATCAAATATAAATATGTATACGTAATAATAGAAATATGCTCTCGTATTATATTGCAGGAATTAACTGACAAATTGAAAAAATAAAAATTGTTTTCACGCGTGTCGCGTGCTTCTTTCTCACTAAACTCCTTAATTTTCTGTATTTTATGGTTCAACGAGAAATTTAACTAATTTAATACTAGACCGAGGTGAAGTTACTCTAAGTTTTGTTTAGTTAGGAACTGTTACGTTTCGTGCACAAATTACACTTGGAACTTGTAACAAAGGAAATTTGTTCCAATTTAATGCTCGTAACACGTTTTACTATCTTTTAAGTCGCACAATTTTGCAAATCATTACCGTTTCTTTTAAATGAAAAATAAAGTGACGATCGTAACTTCTGAAACATAATTAATTAATCGGATAATTGATATTCGTTTCGTATCTATTTCGAACGATCAAGTACGATGGTGCACTTGTCAATTTTAAGCCGATTGTCTCATTTTTTATAGGTCGGAAGTTACTGAATACATCGGCCTGCTCTGTTTGGAAATGTGGGCGCGGAATCGTGATAAGTAACGGAACAGGAAGTTGCGGCTAGCCTGCAGCTTCCGCTTTAAATGCTTATACAGTACTTAAGATAATTTCTCGAAATAGTTTTCTTTAAGTATTCTGATATTGTTAAAAATATATATGTAATTTAACAAAATTCCTCTAGATGACTTCTTTAACTATATTGGATCATAGGTCAATTATATTTAATAGATTACAAAATATTCGACTATTTCTTTCTTTTAAATTAGATTAATAAAATTTTGAATATTAAACTTAATCTAAAACGAAGTACGTTTTAAAATTAAATAATATCATCCAAAAATTGTAGATCACCTATGACCCAACGATATCAATTGACGATAGTTAGATAAATATTAAAAAAATATGCAATAAAGAGAAAGTATTCACGATATTTTCTTACCAAAAATAGTTTAGTCGCAGTGAACGCAGACAACGACGATTGATTGCGTGCGGAATAATAAAAGCAATCATAAAAATGCACGATTAAACACCGTTCCGCGATATCATCGCGTTTTAATATATAAATTCGTGAAAAATTTAGAAAACTGAAATTTAATTAGGAACAATCGTTATACGTAACGAAAAGAAAAGAAAGTAAATATTGATTTTTTTCTGTGTTTTACCACGTGGCATAGTTTACATATTATCATATTATCACTGCGTCATTTATCCCGTCCGTTATGTTTGTGTCATCGTTAATTACATTATTTTAGATTAGTGAGTCTGCATCCTCATTTTTTTCGTCTTTATATTACATCCATTGCGTATATTATTCACGTGTTTATTGCGATATCGGAAATGTTTGGATGTTATTTTGACGCATTATATTGTTTCTTCCTAATATTTGAATGTTTGTAATTGTTAATAAATATTATGTTTACTTTAACATAACAGAATATAAAAAAGGAAGTAAATTAAATTAAATTTTTTTATTAAATACTTCTTTTTCTTCCGTTTTTTTTTTATGTTGAATTACTTTTTTTTCGTAATTGTTTATTAAATATATAAATATAACAAAATGGAAGAATTTTACGAAATTGTCGTCTTTCGTGAGAAATGTAAATGAAATATTATGCGTAATAACTCGATATTTGAAGGACGATTCATTTGGCCCAACCTGTTGCCGATTATTATATTTATTCTGCGATGAAATAATCGTAGCATTTTAATTCGCGTAATAGGAATTGACACTTTTTAAACGCGACTAATTATTTCTAGTTACTAGTTCACAATTTATCTACGATATTTTGTTTCTTCTGCTGAAACTAGAAATTATTATTTCGAGCACAGCTGTTTACCATGTTTCTTTTGAAACGAGTTATTTATTTTAGTGTATTTGTATACACTACTTTCCTCGACCGTGTTTCTGTTTGTATGTACAACGAATTATGATGCGCAGAATACGACGAAGAAACAAAATTCTACCAAGTTTTACATTATTTTATTTTTATCATTCCATCGTTACGTATATCTCTTATCGGAATTAAATTAAACAAAAGAAAAAAAAAGAGCAATAAAGATAAAATAAACGTCTTTAAAATAACATTCAAAATTCTTATTACATATTTTAATGTAACAGTTCCAACGTTTTGAATCCAACACGTTCCCTATTTGATAATTCAAATATTCTGCATTTAATGAATATTCAATCCTTACTTCCGATCAGCCGATTCGATGTGTCGAGCGCAAACATGCTCGACCGTCTGCAGCAATCGTCTGTCTCGATCGTTTCGTCGATTTTTCACACGGATCGAGTCACCGCAGTTCTTCATTCTTCTTCATTTCACGAATGTCAACGAAATTCTACGGTAAATACGGCTCGATATTTCCAGATTTGTCAATCCAAGGGAAGAGGAAGTGATTTAGCGTTATAAAAACGGACACGCGCGTGACACTGTGAAATATCGTCGATCACTGAACGAAAGAACAAGATCGTTGAAATCGCGCGCGAGAGATGTGTACGCAACGCCGGCACTCGTGCTACTGATTGATACGACGACCCCCCGATAACGCCGAGTGGCGACGCACATGCGCAAAACAAAACCGCGCTCTTTCCTTCGTACTCGATGGAAGTAATCGCGGAGAAAAATGCGTCTTCCGTGAGAATACCGATCGATCGATTGCTTATGATGTTATACGGTGAATCCTTTTTTTAATCTCAATATATTTTTAAATTCGATATTTATACTATATTTAAATCTGCATTGCTGTATTCGTGCAGAAGGGTGATTTACGTTTTATAAACTTTATTTTTTCTTTTTTTTTTTAAATTTTCTATATGTTTTGAATATAAAAAAATTATTCTTATATGACGAGGATATCGATAGATATGCGATACGTAAATTTTGGAATATTTACTTGATTTATCGTCTAGAATAGAATATAAAAGCACTAGTTCCTCGCAACGATTGAAAGTGTCGAGGGCGCGAGAAAGCAGGCCGGTCGATACCATTAGGTTAATTATTCAAACTTGTGCAAGTTTTAACGCATTCCGAGAGACTTTCAAGGAATGTTCGAATATACGAGTGGAACGAGGCGTATATTGTAAATCTTGGACTTCGAATCGTTTCATCGGCATCGTGAATCCACTCGATTAGAGAATTCTTCCTTAATTAACCGGAATTAGTTCGCGTGACGTAAGAATCCATCGAGAACCGTTATACCATCGCGTTTCCACAATCGATATAAAAATTAAAACTTACCTCTAGCCTTTCGGTAGCTTTCAGCAGCCTGTCGTAATCGACAGATCCTTGCACGGTTAACAACTCCATCATGTAATCAGCCTCTTGAACCGATTGCTGCACCATTTCCAGCTGTTTCTCGAATCTTCTCCACAGGGCAAGCCTGTTCTTCAATAACGCCAACAATCTCGAGCATCTGGACTCCAGATCGGTATGAGCATCTTGAAGATTCGAAATGTCTCGTTCCACGCTGACCGGAGAAACCGAGACTCTCATCACGGTGGGCAGGGTGTGCAATAATTGTCTGAGACCCATAATATCCTGCCACAAGACCGCAAGCTCGTCAGCTACCGTTTGACATCGATCCACGGCAGCTGCGACCACGTCACTTCCCTGTCGTTCGCTTCCCTCGCATTGATCCAATATAGATGATTGCCGTTGATGGATTTTTCTAATACGGCTGAGGCCACGCTGAATTGCCTGAAGCCTTTCCCTAAGCAACTGCGCTGCATCCAATTCCTCGCTTATTTGACTCTCTATTCGGCGAGCCGAGGACAGCAACACACCGACCTTCTCGCTCTCCGCCACAGGAAGTAAACCCAGGCGACCTAATTCGTCTTGGATCAAACAGATCCTGTCAAACAAGACTGTCAAGCGTTCGATATAGAGATCCAGCTCCTCCTCCGTCTTCAAAACACCGTGGAATCCATCGATCGTCACTCGTAACTCGTTCAATTCTCTCTCGAGTAATTTTAATTTCTCGTTGGACGATATCTCTTCGGAAGAGATGTTTCGAGTCACTTGTTCTTGGATGGTGTTGATCTGTTGAGTCACGTCGTTCCAGCGATCTTGGAGCTCGCAATGGAACTGTCTTTGCAACATTTCATCCGATAAGGGAATTATTCTCAGGGCTTGCTCGAAACTGTTGTTGGCCTCCTCTCGAATGTTGTTGTGGACCTCGTATTGCGCTTTCAGTTCCTAGTAAGAAAACAAAATGTTTGATGTTAAATAAAGATATCTTGAATCTTATAAATTAATTAAGGATTTTTTTTATCACTCACCCAGAATTGACGTATGTGACCCCCTGAAGGATCACGCAAATTATTCAATTCCTTCTCCACCGATGTCATCCAATTCTCCAATCGATTCATCAACATTTCTTGATTAGCCCAACTCTCTTTGAACGACAGCAATTTCCTTAACGACGATTCCACGTTATCTTGAAGTTTTACGATCACGTCTAAAGCTTCTCCGTAACGATCCTCGGGATCCTCGATATTCACTAATTCTTCGAGACTTCGCGCTACGTTCAAAAGCTGAATAAGTCTTGCGTGATGCGTTGCAACGTCCGTTGCCAGAGACTGGAAGAAAAGAAAGAATTTGTTGATGTCTCTTCTGCCAAAATTAATATATCAAATATTTTATTATTGTAAACAATAAATGAAATTATTTCGCGTCAAAAATAAAATACGGGCTCTACTATTTATTTTCTGTTTTGTTGCAAAAAATGAAATAATTAACCTGATACAACGAGATATATTGATCGTAATCCGACGACGTCACTGTTTGAAGATCAGGTACTCGTTGATGAGCAACTTGTAGCCATCCTCTCTCCTCCTTCACTCCCTGTTCTAAAAGAATCCATCTGGATGCTGCAAGAGCCATTTGCTGAGCTCTAGACGCGGCCTGATCCAACAACGATATAGCCCTACTGTGCAGCTCTTCGTGAAGATCCGAGTATTTGGTTCTCGTCTCCGGATCAAGATTGCCTTCCAACGATTCCAGGATTCCTCGACAATGATTCAAATTCACGAAGAATTTTCTGTGCTTCTGCATCTCCTCCTGCAAATGTTCCAAACTCATCACCGAGATAGGACTCTCTAACAAGTTCTCCGCGATCTCGGTGATCTGTGCGAATTCTCGCAAAGTTTGCTCGTATTCTTCGGCCAAGGCGAGTAGCTGAAGAAGTCGTTCACGTTCGATGCATATCCCATGCTCGATTATCTTAGTCATCTCGTGAGCCGCGTAAGTCTCTTCCGGGATGTGCTTTCCAGGATAATCTCGCAACAATTCGTGAGATACGGTGAGCAACGATGCGGTTTTCCACATGTGACATTGATTCATATTCTCTAATTTATCGAGCTCTTCGAGCTTCCATTTCGTGGATGTCTCGAGCTCGATTACGTTGTTTAGATGTTTTCGTTGTTCCTCGATTAATCTATCGGAGAAAAAGAAAAAAGAAAAATAAGAAGTATAAACTCTTTTTTATTTCGTTATAAAATATAGATAGAAGAATCTTACCTGTACATGTTGTACACTCCGTTTACGAATTCATCCCATCTAGCAAGCTCGTTCGTAAGATATTTCTCCCCATCGTCGGTCGCGTCCTCGATCATTTTAACTTGATGCATGAGAGCATCGAGACATTCCTGCAAATTATTACGATCTTCTCTCGGATAATTCATCTCCACTAATTTCCAAACGTTATTCAGCTCTTGAATATTCTCCTCCACGTTCTCCACTTCGTCTCTCAGTTCGACATAGGTCTGATCATCGTGAGAAGGACCCGTAGGACACTCTTTGCTCAAGAAGATTCTGTACTCGATCGTCTCCAACCAAGTGGAAATCGTGTCCACGATGACAACGAGAGTTTCCTCCACGGTGATCGCATCTTTCTCTTGAGCAGCGTTCCTCAAGTGAGACAGTTCTTTCCTTATGTCAGCAGCGCGCTCTTCGGCCAATTTTTCATTCGCCACTTTGTCCAGATGAGCGATATGAAGGATATTTCCAAGATGACTAGATTGTTTGGCATTTAGAAAACTTTGCATTCGATCAGAGATCGCTTTGGTCGTTTGACTGCTTTGCGTGATCTGATGTTGGGGCTCGTATTCTGCACTCTCAGCTATCAAGAAAGCTTTTGAACTCGCTCCTTTTTGCGGGACAACGTGCTGAGATAATTCCCACGTTGAAGGTTGATCTTTTTCTGGTTTCTTAGAAGATTCGCTGATAATATCCGCATAAGTTTTAATCCTGGGTCGATCGTCCTCTTGAGGAATTGATTCCACAGGAGAAAATGGTTCCTCCGTCGTGTCCATTGGTTCAGGGGAAGGCGTGTGAGTACTTATTCCTGGCATCTGTTGTACTTCTGATTCCATAGGCGAGACTATCTTTTCTTTACCCAAAGTCCATACATCCTGAATCTCTTTAACGACTATTGGCTCCGTTGCTATCGACAGCGGTATGGCAGCTGTCTCTATTTTTTCTTCAGCTTCTTTCACACTTTCTTCTATAAATTCTGGAGATTCCTTCCGTATAGACTCGTCCTTTTCAACATCTTTTTCAACATCTTCTCTAGGAGGCGACTTCTCCTTACTCACATTTTTCTTAGCAACGTCGGAATAAGACAATTTCAGAGAAACATCTTTCGATTCTACAGGCTGTCCGAATATGGATTCCAGATCCTTTTCACTCGTCGCCGAAATTTCAATAGTTTTGTGTCTCCTCTTACGTTTCTGTCTTTTCACCACGCTACTGTCCTCTACTTTTCCTGTGATACTTAGATCTTCGGTAATAGTCGTGTCTCGCGAAGTATCGGTTAATTTACTAGTAGTGTCTGTAGTCTCGTCGGGGCACAATTCTATGGTTGCCTGCAAACGAATCTCAAATTCAGCGTCCGCTGTTTCCGTCTCCTCCAACGAAGGCACCATCGTCTCTTCGCTTTCCGACTTAGGCTCCGTTATATCAGAGATACCCTGTGAGCTCTCATCCCTTGGCTCTTCTATTTTATTTAAAGGCTCCTCAATAACAGACACCGGTTCTGTTACTTTCTCAATTTTCGTATCCATGTACTCCTTAGTTTCTTGTACTTGTACATCAGGTGCTACTGGAATTTCTGTAAGTATCAGAGGTGCCTTTATCTCCGTTGACGCGTCAACCTCATCTATCATGGCCTCCACCAAGTTACCTTCCTCATCCTCCACTACAAATTCTTTTTCCGATTCGGCAACTTGCAGTGCTCCGTTTGTTTGTTGAGAAGACGTCACCAACAACGGTTTCTTCTCTTCGATACTCGTTTGCTCACTTTCCTCCCGTGTTTCAGGAATGATCTGCACACTTTCTTCTATCTGTTCTATTAATTCGCTTGTCTTTATTTGTACCGAACTATCCAACGTTTCTATCTTCTCCGGGGTCATGGTCTGAGATTGTTCATCTATCGATTCCTTCACCTCTTCCATGCTAGTCTGAGAAGATAACTCGCAAACCTCCACTTTCTCCGGAGCAAAAGTAACTGGACAAGTTTGAATCATGATTTCTTGAGTTGGCTCCGGTTGAATCGTTTGTGACTCAGTTTCGTGAGTTTCCGCTTGTCGTGGACTCTCCTCTGGTGTCGTTTGAGTTTCCACTACGTCGACAACGGGCTGTTCTATTAGATCTGCCTGCACATTGAAGTCCAACGTAGTTATTTCCGGAGTGGTCGGTTTGCTAGTTTGTGCTTCCGTTTCTGTGGTCTTGGGTACTTCAGGAGTTACCGTTTGAACAGCTATTCCAGTTAGAATCTTTTCTTCTATTGGAGGTGGAGTGGTTTGTTGTTCAACGGCAACCACGACTTTTTCCACGGTCTGCGTTTCAATTTCCATGGATGGCGCGGTGGGCGATGTTTGTGCTTCGATGGAAGCTACTTCTGTAGCCACAGTTTGAACTTGAATTTCCTCGGTTTCGATCGGAACAACTTCTGGCTTGATATCTTCGACTGGACTCGTTTGAACAGCATATTCTTCCATTTTTTTGACAGGTGATTCCATGGTCTGAGTACTTATTTCTTCTATTTTGGGCGCCTCTTCCTCCACAGTCTGACCACTAAAATCTAAAGCTGGTAATGGCGATGTTTGCATTTCCGAGTGTTGTATAATCGGTTTCTCAGGTTCTGATTCTTTCTCTTCCGGTACAGTTTGCATGCCGAAATCCGAAGCAGGCAATGGAGAAGTTTGCATTTCCGCGTGAACTTCCTTCACTTTGGGTGTTTCAGGTTTTTCCGATTCTTCTAGCGAAATTGGAGGAGAAGTTTGCACCTCTTCGTGAATCTCTTCGATTTTCAGTTTAACATCTTCCAATAAATGGGGCGACGTTTGAATATAAATTTCTGAAACCTCTTCCTGTTTCGGGGACGTAGCAATGGAGACACTGAATTCTCGAGGAAGAGTTTGAGTATCTGCCACGATCATGGTTGGAACGATTTTTTCTTTACCGAAGTCAATCTCTTCCCGTTTCTTTTTCTTCTTTTTCTTCTTCGTAGCTTTTGCATCCTCGCTCTCTGCCAGCGTCTCATCGTCCGTGAATTCTCCATCATCGGTGGTTGTCTTAGGGAATTCGGTTTGCTCTTCGTCCTTACAACTTCGTACCCTCTGCTTCTTCTTCTTCCTCCTCTTCGTTTTCGTCACAGTTTCGTCATCCGGTGTAGTCGTCACGATCGTTCTATCCGCCTCGTAGCCATCTTCCCCTTCCGATGTTTCCTCTTTCAAATACAACTCTACTTCCCTAGATTCAAACATTTTCGCGATGTCAGGTTGTGGTGCTTCGCTCGCGTGCCTCGACGAATCGGACAACGGCACATCGATTTCCATCGAGTCTCCAATGTTGGACGCTAGAGAAACGCTCGATTTCGTTTCCGTGGACAGCATAGGTGATTCAATCCGTTTTTCGATCTTCTTGTCCAATTGTATAATTGCCTCTGCTTCTGGTTCTACCGTAGGCTCTGTCAGACATTCGTCCTCTTTCTCCGACGTGACGACATGATCAGAGATTTCTTCTTTTTCCGAGGTGATGATCGATTTGTCAGTCTCCTCTTTTTCAGACGTGACGATTTCTTTTTCCGAAGTGACGATCGATTTGTCAGTCTCCTCTTTCTCAGACGTGACGACAGACTTGTCCGATGTGACAATTTCTTTCTCTGAACCACCGACAGACTTATCTAAACCGATAACTTTAGCTTCAATCATTGGTGGAGATGTTTGAACGATTTTGTCGTGAATCACCGAGATGCTCTCTTTGTCTGCCGGAAGTCTGATGTCGACATCTTCCTTCACTAAGCGATAAGGAGCCGCTTCCGGTTCAGATTGACTTTTCACAGACACAATAGGTTGCATCTCTTCACCTTCCCTCTTTACAGCCAGAGATATTTCTACTTTATGAAAGATGGGTTTGTATTCCGGTTTCAGTGCCTCGTCCATGTAATCATCGATCGAATAATCGATCTCTGGAACGAAAGAATTCTTCACTATCTGCTGCTTCACGTCAATCGGTAATGCCTCCAGTTCCACGTGCCTTTTCCTCTCGGCTGGTGTTGAAGTCGAAGGAAATATCTCTTCGAACTGAATTGGTCGTTCTTCTGAAACGTGAACTCTCTTTTGTACCTCCGTCGAAGCTAATTTTGTCAACGATTCTGATTTCTCTTTCATCCACTTTTCTATCGAAGACTTTTCTTCTAGGACAGGTACATCTACGGTGCCTCTAATGTCATGGTGCTTTTCTACATCTACCGTGCGATCTTCTACCTCGATACGGGGTGTTTCTCTGCTTACTGGTGCATCGATAAACTTACAAGTCCCTTTAGTCACGCTCGTCGAGTCCTCTGACACGATAGATTCGATCGAAGATTTGGTTAACTCTTCCTGTATTTGTGACTCTCGTATCTTGATCTCTTGACTCGGGCTCTGCAAAGTAGCCGACACTTCAGCATCGATAAACGCCTGGCTGGTCGATTGAAGGAACTTTTTGCCATTTACCTCGACCAAAAAGTGCTCGTGCTCGTATTTATCAGTTGGTTCAATTTTCTTTTCGATTGCTTTTAATGATTTGTCGCTTTTTTCACTCTGTAATAAAGATTCTTCAAGACCTTGTAAGGATTCTTGAATGTCTGAAAATTCCAGTGGATTTTCCAGAGCCTTCTCTGATCGAACATTTATATCAATTTTTTTCTCCTTCTTTTCTTTTGTAAGAGTGTCTTTCTTGTCAGGCAATGGCTCCTCTCTCTCTGTTACTAAGTAGGTCGTGCTTGGGTGCATATCTTTAGCAAATGCACCAAAGAATGGTCCTTGCATAGGTATATCATCGGTAACGACTTTTTCCATTTTCGAATCTCTGTCCTCTTTATCTTCTTTCTCAGTAACATCCTCAACCACGACGCGATCTGGAGCCTTCTCTTCAATCTTCTCTTCATCTTTATTAAGATTTCTCTGTTCCTCTTGTTTAATCACATTGATACTTATGTGTGGAATATTCTTTTCATCGATCTCCACTTCCTCGGGCTCCTCTATTATCTCCTCAGTGGCAGTTTCCTTACCATCGATGATAGTAACCTTTCTGATAATTCTTTTAGTCTTTCTAACCACTCTTCTAGTTACTTGTTGCACCACAGCGTGCACGCTAGACGTCTTTGCCCGATATTCTCCACCTTCCATTAAAATTCCCTCTTCGAATGGTTGAGGACTGATGTCTCGAATGTGGCCTTGAGTCACCGTGTGCATGTATTGCGGAGATGACTCGTATTCATCCACGTTCACGTCTTTGAAAGGTGTACCGGTGGCCACTCTTCCTCCATGGATCTGTTTCGTAACAGTTTCTATTGTACCATCCGGCTTCGTGGTAGTTATAGTGACCTGCTGATCTTTCATGGTAGCCTCTGAGAAAGCCTGCACCACGGATGGAGCGTCACCAATGGCGGTGGATGTCGAAGACAGATGTTGTTGAGTTGTTTGTCTATTAGTCATCGTGGTTCGCCTCAATTTCCTTACTATTATCCTCTTAGAACCATCTTCATCTACCACCACTTCGGTAATCACGTCGTCAGGTTCGACCAAAACGGTCTCGAACGATTGTGGGGCAGCGTGGACGATGTTTAATTCACTGGTGGTGTTGTCAGTGTTCGTGGGATCTTGATATTTCATGTCAACAACGATGTCTTCGGTTATTTGCTCGGGACGATCTTGAACGATTTCCTGAGCGGAAGTTGGCACGTTCTTCGTGGCTATCTCGATAACGTCGTGATCACCTTCCGTGGTTTTTAGAATCTTTATCGTTTCCTGGGTTTGGATGCTCTCCATGGCAGGGTGTACTGTGTCCACGGTTTGGGTAGTCAACGAGTGACATTCTGTCGCGATTGGAATTTGATTGGTGGACGTTTGTTTGGTGAGTTGTTGCGGTTTCTCGACGATCTCGTTGGCTAACAAACTCTGTCCTGTCTGCAAGGAAACGTCAGCTAAAGATGGCATACTACTTTCGAGGGAAGAATGAATCGAGGGTGCTTGATCGAGGGTAGCATCGTCTCGGTCTGACGTTTCATCGGCTCGCGCTTCTTCGTCGCGAACCTCCTGGAAAATTGAAGAAACGATTCTCGTTCAAGAATTCTATCTGAATAATATTCCTGATTGCTGGTTCTTTGTCTGTAGGAAAATTTTTCTTTCAAATTTTGTGCTATTAATAAAATTATTTTTAATTCATAAATGCTAGTGTGAAATTTTGGGCTCTTGTAATAATAATATTTGTTTAATTTATAAGTAGTACTTGCATTAAAATATAAAATATATTTTATATATTTATCCCGGACTTAAAATTATTATTATAAATTTTCTCAATAATTTTTAATTGAATTTTATATTTACGACTTAAATATTCATTTTTTTAATTTCTTGAAAGTTAAAAATTCTATCCAAAAGTTTTTAAAATCTTATCAAAGATTTATTATAGCAATTAAGATTTAAATATATAATTTAAAAATGATGCATGATTAAAGCTTGAATGATGAAAACAATTAAATTTTGCTATTCGCATACTTTTAGTTATTCTTTATTTTATATTTAGATAAAGAAAGTTTAGTATATTTTAGTGTCTCCAAAATGCTGATTATATAACAGAACTGAAAGCAGTGGCGTAGGTAACAGTGGATCCTTCCATTTTATTGATAGCAAAATTTAATGCGCATTTGTTAATAACAGCATCACGTTAATCACTGGTTTGTTACGTGAAAATTCGTATCGGTTGTTATATGATTTCATGGTCATTGACTATTTCATATCGATATAGCTACACCTGCATTGTGTCCATAGAAACGGAGACGGAAGATTTTATTCAGAAAACATGATCATCAGGAAACGAGAACGAGAATATCCGCATACAAGAACACTCGGCGTTACACTGTCGTATTTTTAACTTGAAATGTTACGTTTGACTTTATTTTAATACGCGCTTATTTTAGTCGTCTTAAGAGTGCTATGCTTACATATAAATATTAAAAAGAATAAAAAATCAGTGATTTATTTATCGTGATAATCATAAAATTTACGATAAAAGAATTAATTCTAAAAAGACAAGCGTAAAAATATAAATAAATAATAAAAAATAAAAAATAAAAAAAGAATTTTACTTTAAGAATTTCTAAAAAAAAAATGAATTTTGAATATCTTGTAATGGCAATGTTCCAAGAAGAAAATCGTTTCGTTATTATTTAACACATACACATATTATATGGTTACATATACATACAATACGTAGATTTCTTTTTGGTGATATTGGGGGAATAAATAAAATAAAATGGGGGAAATGGGAATTAATGAGAATACTTTAATTACAGCATGAAAAAATTACAGAATAATTGTATTAACATTCCATAAACAAATGCTGCAACTATACAATTACATCCATTACCTTAAGCTAGAAGGAACATAAATATGCTAGTTATAAGTAAATATAAATAAATACACCATGAAATTGTGAGAAGAGTAAAGAGACTGTGCGATGAATGTAAAATGACTATATATGTATATATATATATGCATAATGGATTAAAAATCATAGTAAAATGACTAATGTATCTATGTAGTTTTTGTAATTCTTATAGTTCATATTTTATAGTTTTAAAAAAATTCAAATTATATAAATTTATTTTTTAATAAATAATTATATTTTTAGAAATGAGAATATCGATATGATTTTTAATCCATCATATTTATTGCGTGTGATGAGAAGCTCAAATGAAAAATACGCAATGACATGATAAAAAAAATAGATGAAGAAGAAATTGTATATATGTGTTCTAAAACCTTAACCTGCCATAGTTTACCCATTAAATAAATTATCGTGCAAAATGATATGTGATACAACAAACAAATAAATTACTACGTTGAAGCAGCGAAAGAAAAAAGAGAATGTTACATGCTTGATTATATTTATCACCCTATTCCCATTATTAATTATGGTACAAGATATTATAGTATAAGGCAATATATGTATATCATTCCTCCATATACATATTGTACACATATCCTTGTTATTCTTCAAAATCTTTTACATTGGCAAAAAATTGAATAATCTTCTATATTTCATTCCTCCCATCTTTAGAATCCGATTAGCAATTGACTAGAAATTTTATCAAAGTTTATCTATCTTTAAATTCAAGAATAAACGATGATGCTACATTTATTTCTATAGATATAAATAAATATTATGTATACAACAAACATATTTGGTAAAATATCTTCTCTTAACTTTAGTTTTCTTTTGTATTTTCCGATTTTTAGTTTCGTGACGTTACATTTGTTTCTATTAATATAAATATTTCTGTACTATAATTCTGTTTCTTTGGTGTATTCGATATTTCCCGATTTTCCATGTCGTATATATTTTATGAAACTGGGGCGCGAAATATTTGAAATTCAAAATCGGTGACGCTATATCTGTCTCTAGACAAATATAAACGAAATATTACACATGTAATAAGCATTTCTTTTCGACTTTAGTTTCATTTCGTTTTTTCTCTTTTTAATATTCCGTGTATCTCTCTATATTTTCTGTATTAATCATCGCGTGTGCTTCACGAGACTGTTGCGCGAAGACCAGCAGAGTTTGCGAAAGCTCCCGAGCATTGGAAAACGTTGGATACCTGCTGCCTTTGCTGCAGACGCGACATCACCTCCAACAACGCATTCTTCAGGACTTTTGCCAATGTGCTGATCTCTGGCAAAGATTCAAGCTCCGACACCCGCTGCGCGTGACTGCTCAACTCATCCTGTAAAGCCTGTGTCCACGCAGGGACACACACAGACAGACACGTTTACATACGTGATTTCACACAATTCGTGGTTTCGTTTAAAAATAAATCGTGCAAGCCGCCATTCTAAAACGGTGGATTACGCCAACAGATTCGTGTTGCAAAAATCGGTCATGCAAAAGAAAAATCATGACCGATTTTAAATTTTTATTTAAAATTTTGAAAATGAAGAGAAGATCTAGATCTCTTTTAACCAAAGATTCATTAGAATTTATATCTTTTTTTAGAAATAAAGATTTTAATTTCTCTCTATATATACATAAATATAATTTCATTTATATATTACTATATATATATATATTATATTGCAAACGTACCTTGTTCGTAGCGATCGGTGGTTCCTGTTTCATACTAGCCACGATATCTTTTAACCAACTATCTGTTTCATCCAAGAATTTTTTGTACGCGTGAATGTCGTGGCCGCGTTGCTCTTGTTGTCCACGTGCACCCTCAAGGGTGGCGCGCCCTTGTTCCGCTTGTGTCAACAGGGTTGTAATTTTAGTCTGAATTTCTTCTAGATTGGACAGAAGCTTTTGAGCCTCTAAATCGGCTGGTATTTTATGCAATTCCTCTTCCAAGTGATGCGTCTCTTGATCATAACTTTGAAGCTCCGTTATTAAATTCTGGAAATTATTTTGATAATTCAATTCATTGAATTTTTAAATAAATCGTGTTAAAATAATTTTGATAAAATATAAGAAAATATTTAAATATCGTTTATGGCATGTAATCTTACCGTGAGTGCAGAGAGCATAGTGTCTATGTTATCTCGTGGTAAGTAAGTTCCTTTTAAGTTCGAAAGACTCAATTGTAAAACCATTAGGCGTTCCTGTATGATGTCCTGTAACATAGGAACGAATTAATAAACGGTAAAATATTTTTCTCGTAATAGGGAAGAGAATATGAATCGTGCAATTCAGAGTTTTAATATCAATCTGTTAATTAATGAATTAATGGAATTCGTAAAATGGGATAGGCAAAAAACACAAATATATCAAGATGCTATAGTTTTTTAGTTTCTTTTTCTATTATTTTTTTTTTAATTAAGTAAATTCGAGCATTTATAAAATATATTTATCCATGCAAATTTGGAATTATAAAAAATTAAAATTGGAAATGTACAAGGTTTATGGTACTAGTGAATCTGAGATTTTATAATTCAAAATGAATCACAATAATAGAGTAACTTTTTATAGTCTTTTTTTTCAAATATCCTTGAATATAATATAATAAAAAGAAACAATATTATTTTAAATCTTTTTGAATCATAAAATCTTGAGCATTTTATTTGTACCACAAATTATAGTTTATCCTGTGCAACTCTACAGGGTACTTCAAAAGATGTGTCTATTTTAGTACTACATAGTATCGATCTTTTAAAGTGAGAGAACATTAAAATGTTCCCTCTTATGTGTAGATTGTAAGAGAGAAAGCTGTAAAAAAAGAAAAAAAAATATATTTAAAAGATATAGCATGTTAGATGAATAAAATCTTAAAAGAGATATTGACTATCGAATACATAACGTAGTGTTGTTGCAAACTGCTTCCTTGAATAAGAATAAAATTTGTTCAATATCAAAAAGAATCATTCTCATTTTTCAATGATTTTTCAAGACCAATTAATCGCGAAACTTTTTTTAAAATTCTCATTGAACCGCAACGCAAGCCGAAAATCAAGTAACGTTACGCTCGTGCATTAATAAAAAAAAAAAATCAGCATGCAAATCAAGGAAGGAAGAATCGTAATTAGAGAGAAGCAATAGCAATGTAGCAGCGCTAATATTGTAATTAACTATTAACAGCAGCTAGTAACGTAAAAAATGTATAGAATAGAAAGAAGTAGTACGTTCGATTGTATAATACAGAGGTCGAGATAAGTGAAAAATGATCGATTAGAGAAAAAAAAGAGAGAGAGAGAAGAAAAACGTTAAAAAATTGTTTTAAAAAGTAGAATAAAACAACAATGAACGAGGGCATAAGAAAACAGTATATAACACTGTGTACCAAGCACACGCGCGCACACTCACACACGCGACCTCGCGAGCGTGTACGTACACATACACGCGAGCCCGCACAACACAACAATAATAACAACAATAACAACAACAACAAAGACAGTGAACTCTTTGAAGCTCGATTGGGTAAAGATCGAGCGCAGCTTGTTTCGTGATCGCACCTTGATCCCTCGTATCCTCTTTTCAGCCTCATCCTCAGCTACCCCCATCTCTCTCTCCGTCTCCATGATTGGAGTGTGCCGCTGCATCGATCCTCTTTCAATACCTAAATTTTCCTTGGGATCTGGACCATGGTCAGGGATATTTGGTATTGGGAATAATTCGCACGATGGATCGGAACAGGTGGATTCTAGTCGTTCAACCGCAGTAAAAAACTCGTGATCTAACTTAGAGGGTTGTTCACCGACAGGAGACACTTCGACAGTGGACAATGATTGTAATTTGATCTCCTCAGAATTTTCTGATGTCGTAGGAACAGATTCGAGCGACAATTCGTCGAATTTGGAAATAGACTGGTCATCCTCGAGGTGGACGGAGGATAATTCAGAAACTACTTCGTCTGAGGGAAGGGTTAGATCTAACGTTGGATTCTCGATCTTTTCCTGGACCAACTCCGTGGTCTGATCCGTTCTTTGCTCGTTCTCGCTCGACAAGTAAGTACTGTAATCGCTCCAGCTACCTATACCACCTGGAAGATCGGCTATCAAACGCTCGGTATGAGGTCCACCCAAGAAAAAAGAATTCATGGGACCACCATTTCCACCGCGATTATTCAAATTACCATCATTCTGATCCCCATTAAAATCGTCCGGATCGTTAGAATCGCGTTTAGTATCGTTCGAAATATTTTCTTTTGGATAATTAGCCAAGTTTTCGAATAGATAGCGTTCAGCTTCGTGATAAGGATGTTTGTCCGGCCAGAAACCGCTATCAAGGGAGAGGAACTTGGACCTACTGAGTTCTGACAAGGTCTTTAAGATTAAAGGAGTCTGGACAGGTTTCTTTTTCTCGGGACTTAGAACTAGAATTTCATCGGCTATGTAAAATTGTACTTTTGGTTTTGCTGGTTCGATTACGATATCGACCGTCTCTATTTCTGGTTCGCTCGATATACATTTCTCGAATTCTTCCTCGGTTTCTAATTGGGATTCGATCGAGTCTATTATTATGGGTGATTCGATCTCATCTAATAGCTTTTCAATCGGTATAAATTGTTCTGGGACTTTATCGATTTCTTGAATTATATTTTCTTTCACAATTTCTGGATATATCTCTTCGATTGTTTCTATTTTAATTGTCTCTTTTTCAATCTCATCAGTTTCTTTTTTCAATATACCATTTATCGTTACTTCAGTTGATTCAATGATTTCTGTTGGTTTTTCCATTTCAAGTGGAATGACTGTATCTTCTATAACTTCAGAAGTCTTGTCTACTGTTATTTCTTCGGTAGTTAATGATTTTATGTCATGAATTTCTTTATCATCATTTTTAGATTTATCTTCATATCCTTTGTCTTTTGCTGATTTAGATTTTTCTTCTTTCGTAACTTTCTTTTTTATAGGAGAAGTCGATGGTGTTTCTTCAATTTTCTGTAAATTAAATTCAATTTCTTCTTGAGTTTTCGAAAGTATCTTTTCTTCTTCAAAAACAATTTCCTGCTCTGTTGTGTTCTTAATTTCTTTTTCATCTTTTTTAATGTCATCAATTGTTAATATATCATTAACTTCTATTTTCTGTTCAGATATCGTTACGTTCAATGTCTTTTCTTCAATTTGAGGGATTTCCTTTGGAGTATCTGGAGTTGGAGTAGAAGAACCTGTGTTTAATATTTCAATATTTTTTTCAATCTTTGATGATAGTAGATCTTCATCCGCAGATTTTATTTCCGTTTCTGCTTCTTCGTGCTTACTTTTTTTTGCTTGTTTATTCTTGCGTTTAGATTTTTTAGATGACGACTCTTCCTGTTTTTTGTCTTCATCTATCACTGGTTTAATTATTTCTCCTTTTTCTTCAATGTCTTTTATTTTATTTATAATTTCTTCTTTTTCTTCAATTGGTTTCGACAGCTCTATTATTTCCTTAATAGGTTGTATTTCCTCTTTGGATATTGATATAGATAAAGATTCTGGAACAAGTTTCATTTCATCAGAAATTTCATTTTCTTTTACTTTTGGCAACTCTGTTTTCTCTTTAATAGAATGTATTTCTTCAGATATTGGTATAGAGATAATTTCTGGTTTGATTTCCTCAGAAAATATTTCTTTTTCTTTAGTTGGTTTTGGCAATTCTGCTATCTCTTTAATTGGTTTTATTTCCTCCTTGGATATTGATATAGGCAAAGTTTCGGGAACAAGCCTTATTTCATCAGAAATTATTTCTTGTTCTTCAATTGACTTTGATAATTCTATTTTCTCTTTAATTACTTTTATTTCTTCTTTAGGTATTGGAATAGGCATAGTTTCTGGTACAAGTTTTATCTCATCAGAAATCACTTCAGAAAGAATTAATTTTTCAATTTCTTTAGATATTTCATTAGTGTCTTTTTTCTCCTTGGTTTCATTAGTTAAAATAATTTCTGTAGATATTTCTTCTGCTTTTAATTCATCTAACGTTTTGGATATCATATTTATTTCTTCTTTTTGCTCTTGCGAAATCGCTTCTGATTTTTCGTTTTTCAATTTTTCTTGGCTAGTTGCTCTTGTAGCTGATTTTTCTTTTTTCTTTTGTTTCCGTTTTTCTTTTTTCGAAACTTTAGATTTGTCTTCTGTTTCTATTGCTTGTTCAATTTTTGTTTCCTCTTTCTCTTCTATTGTTTCTGTTTTACTATCTGAAATTTCTTTAGCGATTGTTTGTGGTAATTCTATTGATTCTTTTACAGAGTTTTCCTTTTCTTTCAGCTTTTCAGATATTATCGTAATTGTTTCTATTTCATTCTCTACAGTAACATCCTGTTTAATGTGATTAGTATCATCTCTTTCCTGCTTAATTACTTCTTCTTCTTTTATTATTTGATTCGATATTTTATCTTTAGCATCAAATTCAAATAATTTATTTTCGTCAATTGATATCTTATTGATTTGTTCTGATACAGTTTCTACTTTCGTTTCCTTAGATTTTCCTTTACGCTTTTTTGGAGATTTTGTTTCCTGAACAATTTCAGGCTTACTTTCAATTTCATATTTTATAGATGTTTGTATTTCTTTTTGAACTTCCTTGTCTTCTTCAATTTCTAATTCTTTTTCTGATATTTTTTCTTTGATCTCTGGTTTAACTATTTTATTCTTTTCAATTGATGTTTCAGTAATTTGTTCTAGTGCAATTTCTGCTGCAATTTCTTTAATTTCTTTAATTTCTTTAATTTTAGTGACTTCCTCTTCCTTAGATTTTTCCTTACTTTTTTCTGAAAGTTCTGATCTTTCAGATTTTGTTTCTTGAACAATCTCATACTTATATTCATCTTTAGATTTCATAATTGTTTTTAGTTCTTCCTCAATTTCTTTAATTTCTTTAATTTCCTCAATGTCTGATTCCTTTTTTAATATTTCTTTGATTTCAGGTTTAGATACTTCCTTTTCTTTAATTGCTGTTTCTGTAATAATTGCTTTTTTCTTTTCCTTTGATTTTCCTTTACGTTTTCCAGAAGAAGCTGGTTTTTCATATATTATTTCTTGAATAAACTCAGTAGTTGCTTTTATATCTTGAATATCTTTTGCTTCTGATTGTTCTTTTAATATTTCTTTTTGCATTTCAGATTCTAATACTTTATTTTCTTCAATAACTGTTTCAGTGATTTGTTTTGGTGCTATTTCTGCTTTTCTTTCTTTGGATTTCTTTTTACGTTTTTCTGATTGCATTGGTTTGTCAGATTTTGTTTCTTGAAGAAGTTCATTTTCAGTTTCAAATATCGTACTTTCGTTTGATTTTTCTTGAATTTCTTTAGATTCAATTTCAGATATTATATTTTCTTTTGTTTCTTCTTGATTTTTAATTTCTGATTCTTTCGTAATTTCTTCTTTTAATTTTAGTTCTAACTTTAGTTCTGTTGTCTGAGCATTATCTATTTGCTTATCTTGTTCCTTATCTTTAAATTCGTGTTTTGGTTGTTCCTTATCAGATTTTCCTTTTTTCGATTTTTTATTTTTCTTACCACCGGATTGTTCTTTTGTTTCTACTTTCGATTTTTCTGCAATCTTATTTTGTGTATTTACTTCCATATCTGCTTCTGGAATTTCAAACTCAATAATCTGCAATTCTTCCTTTTCTTTCTTTATTTCTATCTTTTCTTCAGCCTTTTTCTCAATTTTTTCAACAGCAATTTCTTCCTTACTTTTTTCTTTTTCAGCTTCTTTTATTTTCGATTTACCTTTACCTTTCTTTTTTGATTGGTTGGTTTTATCTTGCTCAATTGAATCTTCTATCGTTTCTTCCTCTATTTTCTTTTCCTCGATTTCATTCGTCTTTGTCTTACTTTTCTCTTTTTCTTGTTCCTCTTTCGTTATACTTTGATTACGATCCGCACTATTTGTCTTTGCCTTACGTTTGTCTTTCTTAGATTTTTCTTCTTTTCCTTTGTTTGCCTCCTTTTTCTTTTGCTCTTCCATTTTCTCTGCATTTTCCTCTTTCTGTTCTACTGCTAAAATTTCTTCAGGAATTATAGGTTTATCACTCGATTGCTTTGCATCATCTCGTCTGGCACTTCTGGATCGTGATCTGGATCGTCTAGATCGCAATTCTTTTCGATTTAAAAATTCTATGAAACCTTGTTCGTCTACTTGAACTACTTCTTCAATGGGTATTGGTTCTGGAGCTTGTTCCACATGGATTTGTACTTGAGGATATAAATTTTGCTCGATAATTTGCTCTTTTTTCACTGTAGGTGATGAAATTTTTGGTGGTTCAACATATTTTCCAACTATAGCAGCCCACGAATCTTTCGTTTTCTGCGGAGATTCAATATCCTGAATAGAAGATTTAAAATCAATTTCTTCTTCTAATGCTTCTTTCTCGATTTCTTCTACCCATGAAGTTGATTCCATTTTAAAGACATCTTTTTCAATAACTAGTTCATCAAACTTTTTATCCATTATTACCTCTTCCTCAGATTTAATCATTTCTTTGACATTTTCAATTTCTGTGATTATTAGTGCTTCTTCCTGTGCAATTTCTTTTTTCTCAATGCTTTGATTAATAGGAGTCGGTTTAGCAATTATTATATCTTCTTGATTAAATTGTGGAGAAGTCCTTTTGTTGGAAGCAGCCACTTGAGCATAAGATTTGTTCGAGTCTTTTGTGATCAATTCTTGTGATTCTTCAATAATTATCTCTTTTTCTCCTTCATTTTCAATATTGATAGAAGAGGCTTTTATCTCAGTAACATTCTTCTCTTGTTTTGCATCTTTTTTCTTTTGGTGTTTCACCCATTTTTGATGTGCTGGTGGACTCTGCGATTCTTCAGGTATAATTTCTTCCATTTTTTCTATTTTTTCTAATTTTGGAGTTTCAGGTATTGATTCTTCAGATGTTACTTTCGAAATATCTGTAGAATTATTAGTTGTTTCTGTATTTCCTTTCATGCTAACAATTGATGCCCATGATTTGGTACACACCGATGGCTGAATTTCTTCTTGTAATATTTCTTTTATTTCTATTTGACTCTCTTCCTTTTTAAACTCTTCTGGAGAAATTTCACTCACAATTTCTTGAGACATTGATGTTGGGATATCATTTGTTTTTTTAGATTTTCCTTCACGTCTCTTCTTTGAATCTGGAGAACTATTTTCCTGTTTATCTTGTTTCTTTGGTTCTTTATCAGGAGTAGCTTTAATATCAGTTTTCTCCTTGAATTGTTTCTGTTTTCCAGATTTTGTTTTGGTTTCTTCTTTTTTAGATTTCTCTATAGGTTTAGTTTTTTCTTCTTTTGTTGAAGATTGAATTGCATCTAAATCTATTATCTCTATTGTTTTACCATTAACTAATTTTTCGGTTTCTGTTATTTCAGTTACAATATCAATGTCTTTTTCTAAGGAACACGATTTCAGTTCTTCTGTGATAATTTTTTCTTCTTTCGATGGTTCTTTAACTTCTTCTTTTTTCTTAGATTCTTTAGAAGTCTTCTTCTTTTCAGAAATAGATTTCTCAACAACTTCCTTTTCTATATTTTCTTGTTCAGTTACAATTGGATTCTCTAGAACTGGAATTTCTTCTTTCTTTTCGTTTTGTTTCCTCTGTTTCTTTTTGCTTTTTTCTGATTTTGTTTCTTTTCCTACTTTTTCTATTTTTGGAGATATTATCACAGGTTTTCCTTCTTCTTCCGTTTTTGATTGTGATGTGGTTAATAGTTCTTCCGTTGTAATATTTTTTTCCATCTTTTTCTCTTCTTTTTGATCAATAATTTCATCTGTTGAAATTTCTTTTATCGCAGTAATAAGTTCTTCCATCGTTCTTGTTAATTCTGAAGTTTCGATATCTTTTTCAATATCAATATCTTTTTTCTCAATTATTTCAGATTCTTTGGGTAATAATGAAATCTCCTCAATTTCTTTTTTCTTAATTTCTGCAGTAAATTGTTCCATAATCTGTGATAATTCTGCTATTTCAGTAGTATCTTTCTCCTCAAGTTCTTTGATCGATAGTGGAGCCTCTTTAATTTCCTCTTTTTTAACCTCTGTAAATTGTTCTATAATTTGTGTCATTTCTGTTTCAACAGTATCTTTTTTCTCAATTTCATGTTCTTTAATTGATGAAATCTCCTTTTTCTTATTCTTCGATTTCTCACCTTTTGATTGCTTTTCTTTCTTTGATTTTTCCGTTTTTGATTTTTTCTCGGATACTTGCTCTTTTTTCTCAGTTTCAAATTCTTTCTTTCTTTCTTCTACAATTGTTACAATTTTATTTTGCTCTTCTTCCTTTTTTATCATATCAAGTTCTTTAGTTACGTCTTCAATAAGAGCTGCTGTTTGATCCAAAATTCTATCTGTAGATTTAATTTCTGTAGTAACTTCTTCGATAACTTTCATGGTATCTTTCTCAATATTAATCTTTTTATCTTCTTCTAATTTTATTGCTGGCTTTTCTTCTTCATAAATTTCGATAATTTCCTTTTTAATTTCAATATCTATTGATTTAGACTCCTCTTCAGGAGAGAGTATGACCTCTTCATTTTTGAGTTCTAATTCTTCTAATTTTATTGGTGATTTTACTTCAACATCTGTCAGTTTAGATTCTTCTACAGAAGTGGATATGACCTCTTCTAATTCTTCTAATTTTATTGGTGATTTTACTTCAATATCTGTCAATTTATCTGTCAATTCTTCCACAGATGTAGACATGACCTCTTCTAATTCTTTTAATTCTATTGGTAATTTTTCTTCTTCATAAATTTGAATAATTTCCTTGTTAATTTCAGCATTTGTTGATTCAGATTCTTCTACAGGAATAAGTGTGACCTCTTTTTCTTGAATCAGCTTAGATTTCACCCATTCAGATTCTAATTTATAAAACGTACTAATAGGATATTTAAGGGTTTCTCCAATAAGTGCATACTTCCGATATTCTGCTTCAGATTCCTCTGTATCTTCCGTTTTCTTTTCTATTTCTTTAGATTTTTCTTCAATTGATTCCTGAAGTATGTGCTTTCTGTATTCTGTTTCAGATTCCTTTGTATCTTCCGTTTTCTTTTCTATTTCTTTAGATTTTTCCTTAATTATTTCCTGAGATGCATGTTTTGCGTATTCAGTCTCAGATTGTTCTGCACTTTCTATTTTCTTTTCTCCTTCTTTAGGTTTTTTCATGATTGATTCCTGAACAATTCTTTCAATACTATCTGATCTTGGTAACACAGAAGCAGGTACATTTTCTTCTAATATTTTTACTATCTTGAAATGCCTATAGAAATCAATTTCTGCCTTAATATAAGGACGATAATTGAACCAATAAGGTTTTACTAAATCTGTGAAATAATATGGGTTTATATCTTTTGTTTTTGACTTAGAATCTTTAATTTCGACAGGAACTTCTTTTTCTATCTTCTTAGAATCTTTAATCTTAACAGGAACTTCTATTGATTTTTCAGATTCTATGATCTTTTCTTCAAGAATTGTTCTATCTTCAACGCTTTCCATTTTAGATTTAGAATCTTCATCTACAATTGTTTCTTGTTTTTCCATTACCTTTTCTCCAACTTTAATTTCTTCTTGGGGTTTAGAATAATCAATTTTAACAGGAACTTCTTTGAATGATTTTTCAGATTCTACAACCTTTTCTTCAAACAGAACTGTTTTATCTTCAACTTCTTTCGTTATGGATTTAATTTCAACAGGAATTTCTATTTTTTCTTCAAGATCTTTTTCTTCAATTATAATTGTTTCATTATTTATTTTTTCAATTATGGATTTAGAATCTTTAATATTAATAGGAACTTCTTTAATTTTTTCTTCCTCCTGAGTTGGCTTATTTTCAATTTCTTCCGATTTAGATTTAATATCTTCAAGCTTAACAGAAACATCTTCTCGTTTTTCAGTATCTATTAGTTTTTCTTCAAGTAGATTTGTATCTTCAATGCCTTTCATTTTAGATTTAGAATCTTCAATTTCAATTCTTTCTTGTTTTTCAGAATCTACTTTATCTTCAATTTTAATTTCTTCTGTTTGAAGTTTAGCATCACTAACTTTAATAGGAACTTCTATTGGCTTCTCAAATTCTGCAATTTTTTCTTCAGGCAGAGTTATTTTACTTTCAACTTCTTTCATTATAGATTTAATTTCAACAGGAACTTCTACTCCTTTTTCAGAGTCTACTACTTTTTCTTCTATAGTTGTTTTACTGCTAACTTCTTCAGTTTTAACAGGAACTTCAATTGGTTTTTCTAAATCTCCAACCTTTTCTTCATTCAAAGTTGTTTTATTTTCAATTTCTTCCAACTTAAATTTACTATCTTCAAATTTAACAGAAACAGCTTCTTGTTTTTCGATATCTACAATTTTTTGTTCAACTACCATAGCTTTTCTTTCAACTTCTAACAATTCTTCCACAGCATTCTTCACATCTTCTCCCTTTCCAACAGTAAAAAGAAGCTCTTCCATAGTTTTATTTGTTTCTCGCTTCTCTTCCACACTTTTATCCTCATTCTCTATCTCTAACTCACTCGAATCTTTGAATCTCTCATTTTCAGTTTCTCCAAGAATGTTTACTTCTTTTTTAATCATTATTTCACCCTTTTCAATCTTACCCTCGATTTCGCTCAATGTATCTTGCGAAATCTTCGCATCAATACCCTGTCCCTCCTTTAAATCATCGACCTCTCGTTCTTCCTTCGCGTTTTCTACAGACAAAGAAGTCCCAGAATGATCTTTCCTCCTATCCTGAACGCTACCGAACAAAATCGGTTGATCGTCTTCGACGAGATTGATATAATTCGCGTAATCGAAATTCGACTCGTCCACTAACGTATCTAAAAACTCTTTCGAGGGGATACCAACAGCTGATTCATCCGATACCCTAGCATATCTGGTTGTTAGGCTAGCCTCTACTGTTTCAGGACGTAGGGTGATTAATTCAGTGGGTTTGGAGCCTACGATCTTAGGTAAGGGAATGCTTTCTAAGATCTCTACGGATTTCACGGATTTCACGTTCGGAGGCTTCACTTCGACAGATCCCGGTATGCTGGTCGTGGTCGTCACCGTGGTTACCGTTTTTTCGATGATTAATGCTTTGCCCGATGACGTCGAAGATGATTCTTCGACTGGCGAACCAGTATCTGTGACGTTTGAAATCTCTTCTGTCAATGAGAGAGATGGAACTTCTTCTGTACTTGATTTTTCAATCAGGTCTTGCGAAACAGATTTTGACTCATTAGATTCAATAATTTGATCTTTTTCAGGCTCAATTATTGGACTTATTTCAGGTTGCAACGTCGTTGGTATTTCTTTCTCTTCAAAAATAGATTTTTCGGGAACAACATCAGGTATTTCGATGGATTCTTCGATTGGTTTTGCGTCACTGAGAGGTTTTTCAGTAATTGTCTTTTGTTTTGCTTGTGGAGATTCAATATTATCTTTGTCTTTATTCTCTTGTTTCTTCTTCTTCTTTTTATCGGATTTTGGTGTACTTGGTTGACTCTTTGGTGTACTTGGTTTAGGCTCTTGAACTATAGAAAGTGGAGCTATTTTTTCGACAGGATGTTTCTCCTTTGATTTACTTGATTTTTTACTCTTTGATGGTGTACTTGGCATTTCACTCTTTTGCTCTGGTTGTTGGTCTTCTGTTTTTGAAATTTCAGGAGGAGGTGTTTCCTTTTTCTCTTTCGTATCACTGACTTCAATTTTTTCAGTTTCTTTTGCTATTTCTACAGTTTTTATAAATGTTTCCATGCTTCCTTCAACAATAATCTTTTCAGGTATTTTTTCAATAGCAGACTGTATTTCAATTTTGTCTGTTAGGATTATATCTTTTTCTTTCTTTTCTTCAACTTGAACTGCACTAATTTCCTCTTTAACTTCGATAACAACTTCTTCTTTTGTTTCTTTTATAGACTTTTCTTTCGTATCGATTTTATCGCTCATTTCTTCTAATTTTATCGTTTCCTCTTGCATTTCTTTTTTCTCTGTCTTTTCTTTTTGTTCTATAGATTTTAAACTTTCTTCTTTCTTTCCTCTTTTTGGTGATTTAGATTTCTTATGTTTTTTCATCTCTGATTGTTCTGTATTTGGTACAACTGATTCAAGTTTCAAATGTTCTTTTTTCGATTCTTCTATAATAATTTTTTCATCAATTTTTTCTTCAATAACTTGTTTATCTGTAACGACTATCGTCTCTTCTTTTTTGATAATCTCAGCAGATTTCTGATTAACATCCGCTTCCTTTTTAGATTTCTTTCCACCTTTTGTTTTTGTCTGTTTCTCTGCTTCACCTGCTTTTTTCGTTTCTTTCTTTGGTGTAGAACTTTCCTTCGAATCTTTATTATCAATTTCTTTTTCTTCAATTTTTTTATCAGATTCTATCGCACTAATCAATGGATTTATTACAGCTTTCTGTTCTTCTTTCTCTTTTAATGCTACTTCTGGTTTTGTATCTTTCTTTTTACGATCTTTACTTTCAGCTTTCTTTTCTTTCTCTTTTCCAGTTACCTTTTTCTCTTTTTCATCTTTTGGTGCTTTCACATCAACCTCTATTTTAATCTCTTTGTTTTCTTCCAATTTAATATCTATTATCTCTGATTTTTCTACAGATTTTTTCTGTTTCGATTGATCTATTTTCTTTTCTTCTTTTTGTTGGCTCTGTTTCTTAGGTGTCTGATCTTTCTCATTCTCGGTTCCTTGTTTCTGTTTTTTATTCTTTTTCGATTTATCCTGTTCTTTAGGTTTCGCAGGTTCCTTCTCTTTTGATTCTTTTGTTTCAGATATTTTTTCTGATTTCATAAGTTTTATAGATTTCGTATCCTCTTGTTTCTGTGATTGATCTAAATTTCCAATATTTTCAACTGGTTTAATGTCTTTCTCTTTTTGAATTTCTGCTTTATCTTCAATAAATATCGCTTTTTTCATTTGTTCAGATTCATTTTCAATTTTCGTAGATTTCACACTATCTTTATTAGACTTATCTTTCACCATACCAGTCTGTTCTTTACCTTTTTGCTTTTTCTTCGATAGATTAGCAGAATCTTTTTGCGCTTTCTCTTCCTTCGTCTCAATTTTCTTCATTTCGTTACCTGAATCGATTTTAATTTCAAATCTTTTTTCCGACTCGCTCTTTCGACTTTCAACTTTCTCCTTAGAAATCTTAGCTTCATCCTTTGCATTCCTTTTCTCAATATTTTTCTCTTCTTTACTTTCTTTCGTATCATTCTTCGATTTCATTTGTTCTTTCGCGTTAGTCTGATTCATTGCAATTTCTGATTCGTCTCTAACCTTCTCCATCTTCGATTTATTTTGTTTCTTTTTCTCGCCAGGCTTCACGCCTTTCTTTTCATTATCTTCTTTAGATTTTTCTGTTTGAACAGTTTGAATCGTATCCTTAATCTTAGTCTGTTCCCTCGATTTATCCCTCTTTTTCTGTTTATCCATATCCTCAATTTCTTTCAGAGCCTTGTCTATCTCATCGTCCATCGACTTCTCCGGTTTCTTCTTCTTTCCCTTTCGTTTCTTTTCCTGAGATCTGCTCCTCTGTTGAACATCATGCTTCTCCTCCTGAACCTCTTGCTTTTCATCTTGTTTCTGTGTTTCGATCTTTTTCGTCTTTTCGACATCTACTCTCTTTTCCGATCGAACATCTTCCACTTTTTCCTTTTTAATCTCAACCTCGTTACTCTTCACATTTATTTTAGAAGTATCTTCCACGACAATTTCATCTTTCGTTTCGAATACCTGTTTCTGTTGCTCCACATTAATCTTAATTTTCTCCTTTTGAAGTTTCTCTTTCGAGTACTCGGGCCCTCTTCTAGCTCTCTTTTCCGGGATTTTCGTCTTCGGCGCCTCCTGATGAGTCTTCCTCGTCTCCCTTTTCTTCGTAACGTCCCAATTGCTTTCCTGTTTACTTACCGACGATTCTCGAGTTTGCCTCGCCTCCTGAGGAGGACTCGTCTCGTGCACCGAGGACGTTGTCGAATTCACAGGTGAATACGAACGCTCTTTCACCTGTTTCGAGGCTAATGTCGTCGATGGAACGCTCGTTGGTGGAGAATAACTACTGACGGCCGATGACGGTTTAGGAGCGAGACCCTGTGATAAGATCTGAGCGTAGGAGAATGTTTTACTCTCGGTGATTATTTTTGTCTTCACCGGTGTGCTTTCCGATGGTGTTGCGGGGGAAACAGGTTGCACAGGTTGTTCCACAGGTTGCTCTACTAATTGTTCCACTGATTGTTGCACTGATTGCTGCACAGGTTGTTGTTCCACAGGCTGTTGTACAGGCTGTTCTTGTTCCACAGATTTCTCTTCAACTATCTGTATTGGTTGGACAATAGGTTGTACGACAGGCTGAATATCCACAGCTTGAGGAATCTGACAAGATAAACATTTCTCTTCCACATTTTGCATGATAATTGGAGCGCTCTTTGGATTACTTTTGTATTTAGATTGATGCGGTTGTCTCTGTTTCTGCAACAGATTCTGCTGATAAATCTCTGGCTCAGGGATGTAACTAGGTTGTGCCACGTATTGTTCAGACGGGAATGCTATCTGACTCTCGGTGTAATGAGGAAGAGCCATCTGCTGAGGGGATGCAGCCGGCATGTAGACGTAAGAACTTACTGGATAAGCTACCTGAGATCCAATGAATCCAACCAATTCTGGAATCGCTGGTCGAAGAGGTGGTTGAATATAATTGTACACTTCTTGAACTTGTTGCGGTGCTCCCGCAATATTCTTGTAATTCTTCTCATTCAATAAAACGTACTCCTCCATGCTCTCATCAGCCCAACTGGTTTGAGCCTCTGCCGATTCCTCGGGTTTCACGGAAGAAGATACGATTTCAGCCACGTCTTCATCCATTACCTCAACAGACTGGTAACTCTCTACTGCTATCTCTTCGTTTGCCTCTTCCTCAACAGCTTCCTGAACTTCCGTCTCTTCCTCCACTTCGAGTCTGGGCACATTGAACTCCAACTTCTCACTCTGAACCGTTTCCACAGACAACTCTTCGACCACAGTCTCGCTGACCTCTCTACCAATCATATTAACGTCCTTGCCAGCCTCCACCGAAGGACTGCGAGAACTTTGCCTATTTCCACGAAGGATATCCGCGTAGGACGTAGATCCAGGCACCCAAATGGGACTAGCCGATCTTCCTCTCCTCTCAACCTTAGGCGCCAACGTGTTCTTAAGTACCAACGATTCCTTTTTCTGTTCCATCGATGTAGAAATCTCCATCTCGTTTTCATTCTCCGCGGACGAATTTCTCTCCCTAGATTCCCTCACAGCCTCATCGCTGTCATTTCTAACCGAACCAGCCCTCCTCGACTGACTCCTCGTTCTAGAATCCACCGAATCCATCTTGGAAACGTGTCTTCTGCTTTCGATTCTCATCTCGGAGTCCTTCTGTTCGCTCTGCTCCTCGATTCTCGCCCGTTCCTCGTTGCCTCTGCTTTCTATTCTCGCGGTGCTAGGCGGAGTTTCATCGCGAACCGGTTCAACGACGGGTTTCTGGATATCCACGGATCTTGAGAATTGAGCAGTCGGTCTAAGCACTTGAATCGAGAGAGGTGTAGGAGCAGCCTCGTCCCGGTTGTTTCTAAAGGGGCTAGAGCCCCTGGAATTGGGGCTCGTGCGACCAGCGGCGATGTCCGCGTACGAGACCTGATTGACGAACCTTGTCTCGTTGCTTTGTACATAGTACGGGTCCACGGTGTATATTTCATCCAGCAATGTCTTGACGCGTTGCCTCCAATCGTCCATCCTTTGCTGCAGGCTCTGCTTTATCCGCCACGGAGGAACCAGCCAAGGCACAACAATGGAATTATACATATGTCAATTTTTTTCTGCGAGTTTTTCTTTTTCTTTTGTGATGTCTTATCTTATATTTTGTTTATGGCGGGGTGAGAATAATAAAAAGATTGTTAACTCGGGCGGAAGTAATGACGGAGGGATCGGGGGTTGGTTGTTATCAGATAATGTGGTCAGGGGTGTTAAAACGGATTGTTATGGAATTTTGAAGATATCTTTTCTTTTTCTTCGGGTAATTTTAGTATATGCACGTATGCTAGATTAACATTATGATCAGCGATGGTTTGGCTCGCGAAGAAACACACGAGATTTTTATTTTTGTTTTGTGCAACAAAGAGGGCTTTTTATTCTCTCTTTTTTGAAATAATAACATGCTTTCGATCGTTTTGCATTTTCTATTCTTTTTCTTTTTTTTTTTTTTTCTTTGGTTAATTTTATGATTTGCCCCTATGCTGGGTTAAACTTTATATAAAGCGTGGGTTGGCCCCCGAAAAAACCCCCGGAATTTTTTTTTTTTTTGCAACAAAGAGGGCTTTTTATTCTCTCTTTTTTGAAATAATAACATGCTTTCGATCGTTTTGCATTTTCTATTCTTTTTCGTTTTTTTTTTATAAGAATGCAAGTCTGCTCTCTATGCCTGGACGAACAATAACGTTTAGGAAAAAGTTTTGCTCGATATAACATAATATAGACGATATACGTATATATATATATTGTACATATATTTTTATAATATATATATATATATATAATATAAAGTTCGCTAAAAAAGATCCTGAGGTATTAAAAATCGGTATCCACTCCTCGAACGAGGACGAACGACGATGTTTCACAGCTGACAGATTCTCTGAAAGAAAATCTTCCGCCATTTTTTTCTTCGACGTTCCCTTCGCTCGAGATGGAACTCGCGGAACTGCACCGGGTAAGAAAAGAAACGAACGCGAGGATACGACGCTAATGATTGTCACAATGTGACAAGACAAGTATCGCGAAGCTCTCGACGATCTGGATCGCCTATCTAGACTGGTCATGGATCCAATGGCTCTGGATCAGGCCTGCCACGTTGCGCGAGGATCTTCGACCTCTCTGTACGCGCCTGGATTTTGCTCTGCAACGACTTGATCTTCTCACGACAAATCTATCACGATGGAACGAAGGAACAACAACACGCCGAGCGATCGAGCGAGATGGAACGAGATCGTGGACGAAATTTCGATCGAGAGAGACAGAGATCCGAGAAACCAAAACGAAGAATGAGAAATAAGGAGAGAAATAAGGAAACGATTAAACGATGATCGAAAAGAAACAGAAAGGGTAAAGGTGAAACGTGTGTGGAATGGATTTATATATATATATATTTTTTTTTTAAAGGAGAGGCGGGAAAGGATACAGCAAAGAAAATATCGTAAATCAAATAGCCGATGCGATGGATTAAAAAAGTTAATACAAAGAAAAAAAAGAAAAAGGTAAGACACAATATGAAGTTAAATGAGAAAGAAAAAAAAATATTCAAAGAATATGAGAGAGATTATTGAGAAATCATTAATACGACTAATTTTTTTGGAGCGTTGACTTGTGCTCGCTGCGTTCTCACAAGTCTCGACACACGTCTTGGAGGTCACTTGATTTTCTTGCGTGTCTTCCGTTTCCGTATTCGTTCTCGATGGAACGAGCAAAGGTATATCTCATTGCGAACAACAACAATACGAAAATTCAGCCGAGCTACTTTCTGTGAAGACAGAAACTCGATCGGAAAAGCCTAAAGTGAATTAAGTGTTTGGTACAATTAGGTGTTTGCATATCGTACGATGCGACTTTTACATATCTCTGTGCGACTACTATTACGATTATTCGTTGTCTCTTCGTTTTAACTCTGTATAAATAAATAAATAAATAAATAATTGTATAGAGTGCCATAAAAGTGCAATTCCAATATACGGAATCGCATTGTCCTCGTAAACACGTAGATAGACAAATGTGAAATACGACGAGAAAAGAAGAGAAAATAAAAAAAAGATAGAAACACGTGACGTTACACAAAGAAAAACAAGCAAAATCAAGTAAACTCCATCACGAAAAAAACATATATGTGTATGTGTGTAAATGTGTATCGTTAAGATTTTTGTGACGTATATAAGGATATTATATGAGAAATAAAGAGACAGAGACGCAGAGACGTGCGTGAACAGTGAACGTATGACCGATTGATCTCTCGGTTGTGAAGAGAACAGGTGTGATAAGATTTAGTCAAGAGCATGATACCAACCAATACCGCGTAACATGATGTACCACCACGATGATCAGCATGCTTGCGCGATCACGATCGTTCCATCGTTTTCACGAAAGAACGATCGATTTCGATATTAACTTTGCAACGAGCGTAAAATAATTCTTTTTTTCTTTTTTTGTACGTGAATTCGAAATTCTTTTGGAATTTTGGAAACAGCTTTGTACAATGTAAATTGTTATATAATTCCTTTGGAATGTAGATGGAAAGAGAGGAGAGTGAAGAGATGTTGGAAAGTTAATAAAAGAAAGATGTTAAGCCGTTAAGCGTTGATGAGTAATTATGAAAAGCTTTGGTGAGGAAAAATAATTATAAAGATACATATGTATGAAATGAAAATTAAAATAAGGAATTGACAAGGAATCTAGATTATGATTTCAACGGAAACACTTTGATTTGAATAAATAATAATAACAATAATAAAAAGATACGTCGACCTCTGTCTCCCATTAGAAATTATCCTAGAAATGGATCATCAAAATGTTTCCAGATTCTGATTGATGCTTTATAAATTTTTATTGACTTGACTACTTTTAAATTTTAAAAGATATACGAGAAATATCTTTTAAAAGGGATAGCCAATAAAAATTTCGTTTCATCCTGACGCGGATTTATTATAAGGATTAATGCGGCTCGATCGACGGTTAATTGTTAGTCACTTGAGAGATTACGGAGAGCAGGCATGGTGTCTTGAGAGCAGATGCCAGAGAGAAATTCGACTTTATTGTTCGGAAAACTACCCCCGACCACGAACGTGTA